CACATCATAGCAACCTGTCATTCCACTGGTTGTTCCGCTTCCTGTAAATTTACATGTTAGCCTTTTATTATATAGGAGAATTATTGATTATATTCGCTGTGCTGTACTTATATCTCTATGATCATTTTGTAACTACCAATGTGTACATCTTAATCCCTCCCCTTTTCCACCCAGCTCTTCAATCTCCCTCCCATCTAGCAAACACCAATTTGTTCTCTGAGTTTGTTCCTGTTTTGTTCATTTATTTAGTTTTTTAGTTCCACGTGTAAGTGAAATCATATAGTATTTGTATTTTTCTATTTGACTTATTTCACTTAGCATAATATTCTCCAGGTTCATCCATGCTGTCACAGATGGCAGGATTTTATTCTTTTTTTTTTTTTTTAATATATTTTATTGATTTTGTACAGAGAGGAAGGGAGAGAGACAGAGAGCCAGAAACATCGATGAGAGAGAGTCATCGATCAGCTGCCTCCTGCACACCCCCCACCGGGGACATGCCCACAACCAAGGCACATGCCCCCAACCGGAATCGAACCCGGGACCCCTCAGTCCCCAAGCCGACGCTCTATCCATTGAGCCAAACCGGTCCCGGCAGGATTTTATTCTTTTGTATGGTTAATATTACCTTATATATATGCACCACAGCTTCTTGTCTATTCCTCTGTCTATGTACACTTTGGTTGGTTCCATATCTTGGCTATTATAAATAATGCTGCAGTGAACATAGGGGTGCACAGATCTTTTCCAATTGGTGTTGTGGATTTCTTCAAATACCCAAAAGTGACACTGATGGGTCATATGGTAGTTCTATTTTTAATTTTTCCATAGTGCTGCATCAATTTACAAACCCACCAACAGTGCAATAGGGTTCCCTGTCTCCATGTCTTCACCAGGCACCTCGTAATATTCCACACTTGATAAGTAACCATGGTGACCCAGAGATGTTCAGTTAGTAAGTGGAACCAGGATGCAAGCTTGGGTATTCTGAATCTACTGCACAGTTCAGCCTCAGGGGAGGCCTGGTGGGAGGGACAGGGCCCTACTGGGTGAGAAGGAGGTACCCGGGCGGAGAGATGCTGGAAGGGTGTTCCTGGGAGAGGGAAGGGCATGACGTTTTTTTAAAAAGCTTGGAGGGTTTGAAGAAATGGTGTGAGGAAGGAGAGGCAGGGAGGAAAGGCCTGGGAGGAGGCAGGGGCAGAGTAGTGAAGGGGCTGTGGGCCCTGTGGGGAAATCCACACGTTGTCCAGTGATGGGAAACCATGAGAGCTTTGAAAGGAAAGTGAAAGAGTCATATTTTGGTTTCTAAAGCTGGCTCTGTTTCAGTGGGAGGATAAGTTGAGGGGGGGGGGGGGCGACCTGAAGCTGACGGCAACTCAGGACAGTGCTGCCCATGCCAGTGAAGCTAAGCTGAACCAGGTGTGGGCACCAGGAGGTGACCCATGTTGCTGGCTGGGGGAACCGAGTGGATGATGTGCCAGCACTGCCACAGGGAACCTAGCTGGAGGAGTGCTGGGGTTCTTTCCCCCAGCCTTTCAAAGGGTTCAGCATTCTGGAGAAAGGAGTCTGTGGACGAAAGATATTTCTGAAAGGCATTGGGGGTCAGAGGAGCTTCCAGCTGAAGGAGCTAGAAGCCTCTCCTTGACCAAGGACCCGTGCTGTGCTTTTATTACACACAATTTGTCCCAAGGCAAGGTGGAAATATGCACTTCAAAGGGTAAGGTATCAAAGGGTTTACAGAGATTGTCAGTTTCAGTAATAGCCTACAGCTGCTCAGGTGCTTGGCCAACAGGAGGCCATAGAATGCCTTGAGCTGTGAGGCAGTTAACAATACCATTCAGGTTTGGGGGAAGTGCCTTTTAGCCGTTTCCAGCAGGTGAACTACATGCGACTCAACCCCAAGCTTCACCAACCTTTTGGTATAACTCTTGTAAATATTACATGCTGGGATTGGTTCTCGGCAGAGGAGCAGGTTTGGGGACAAGGTGGTGGTGGGGGGCGTTATTCATTTCTTCAACCCGTTTTATTGTGCGGACCCCTCAGCACCCAGGGAAGCCTGGGGCCCCATAGGGGCTCTGCAGGTGTGTGTGGTGGGTGGATTCATGAATGGAGAGAGGCTCCTCTTTCCTCCACCCCTGCCCCCACCCCCTCTTCCTAGCAATAATGATTTTTACTCTCCCCTGTACAACCAACCACTTGCTAACACCTGTCCAGCAGGGGGAGATTTAGGCATGAGGAGGAAGAGACGCAGAGAACTGCTTCCTGTAACACACACTTCTCAGCCCTGGAGGCAGCAGCGGCTGAACTCAGGGCCTGTCCTACTAGAGGAGCCCACACTCCAGGGAGTGCAAGTACCAGCCTCCAGTTCTGCCCGAGTAACAGGTTCCCAAGTTCTGAATTCATTATGGCGCTGCAGACGCCAGGGCACTTTAGTTTCCCTTAATTAATTAAAATACCGCATAATCATCTTCCTCTGATTTAATGTTCCAGAGGCCCTGGCGAAGGCTGGGAGTGAGGAAATTCATTAGAGGAGACTGTTCACTGTCGATTGATTTGCTCATTCTTATTAATTTTACCTGCGTCATCCATCCCTGCGGGAGAGGCGAGGGTGATGTTTTCTTAAAAACATAGGGTAGCCGAAACCTGTTTGGCTCAGTGGATAGAGCGTCGGCCTGTGGTCTCAAGGGTCCCAGGTTCAATTCCTGTCAAGAGCATGTACATTGGTTGTGGGCATATCTCCAGTAGGGAGTGTGCAGGAGGCAGCTGATTGATGTGTCTTTCTCATCGATGTTCCTAACTCTCTCTTCTTCTCCCTTCCTCTCTGTAAAAAATCAATAAAATATATTTTTTTAAAAAATAGGGTGAAATTCACCCCGCAACCTGACCCAAAAAATTAGTTTTGACTAAAAATCAGACTTTTAAAATTTCAGGTGGGAAGTGGGTACATTTGGGATTGGACATTTGGCTTTCAAACGATCTTCCTGGAACCCAGTTATAACTTAGTTAACAATAGACTGAGATTCAGGCTGCCTGTTGCTTACAGCATCAAGTCCAGCCTCCCTCCTATGGAGGCATTTAGGGGTGTGGCCTAAGCCCCAGTCCCCCCACCTGCCACCATGGCTCCCAAGCTGCTGCAGTGGTCACTACTCCCCCTTCACAAGTGAGGCAGCACTTCTCTAGCCCTGCTTCCTCCACATGCTGTCTCCTTAGCCAGGAATCCCCCACTTCAACTCAAACCCAGCTTAGATGCCTCTTCTCTTCCAGGAAGTGGACATCTGTGCTTCCTGGCAGGACAGTGACCTTGCCCCACCCGTTCCCAGACATCTCACCCAAATGCAGGCCCCAGGGCCCACCCACCTTCTCATAGTCAGTGTCTGCCTTCTTCTAGCCTCTGGAGAATGCCACTCCCGCATACATGTGGAAGATGGCAGAGGGCAGATCTAAGTGAGTGAATTAAATGCTAGAATGTTTATATAGTGGGAAACCCAAGTTCAGGGGGAGCTGGAAGAATCAGGCCTGTGGCAGGCGATTAGGACTGGTTAATAACTGCAAGCAAGGTGCTCAGTTGGCGCTGTGCCTACAGCCCAGGTGAGAGATAAGGGGGATACAGGCAAGCAAAAAAGGGGGCAAGAAGCATAGGGATGATGAAGGACCTGTGGGCCCGGGACCACGCACAGGAGCATCCCAAGGACAAAGAGACCAAAGACTGTCCTCAAAAAACATTTATTCTCAGGGTGCAGGGGTCATGGACATCATCACATCTAGGAACATAGGGTAGAAAACACAGGCTCTGGGGATCATCTTTCCAATGAAGCACACGTGCTTCAGCCTCTGCAGAGGCCTTGGGCTCTCACCAATAAGAAGCCATTAGGTTGGGACAATCATATTTCTTCTACCTTTTTGGTTTTGGTGAAAATTTCAGATAGTGTAACATTTATTAATTTTTTTTGCACACAATTATGATGTAAACCCAGCCTCATCAGTCTTCATGCTTAGCTCCTCATCACAGGGCTCTGTCTAGCCTGCTCTCTGGGTCTATATCCAATTCTGTTCAGGCAAATTTGAGGAGATTCAGTTGATTTTGTTTAAGTGTGCTTATTAGCAGGTGCGGTTCTACTACCTTCTCCAGGGCCTCAGCACCCCTATTCCTCCTAGTGTCTTATCACCCACTCAGATCAAGAGGCCCTACAGACCTCGGTACAACAGAGTGGTGGTCAGCGGGAGAGAGGTTAGAAGGTGCTGAGAAAGGAGGGGATGTGAGCAGGTCCCCCAGCAGCTCCAACCGCCAACAGGCAAGGAGAGCTTCCAGTCTGATCAGTTTTAATTCTAATTTTACTCAAAGAAGGGGTTCCAATGTTCTAAAATTTGAAAACCACCATCTAGTTTCATCCTCTTCTCATTCAAATGAGGAACCGAGGTGCAGACCGTGAAGGGGACTTGCTCAGGGTCACGCAGTGAGCCGCGGATGAAGTCCCAAATGGGCCTCATGTGTCTGGGTTCCCAGGCCCGTCTACTGCTGTGTAGTATGTCACGGTGTTGCCACCCCAAAATTTCAGTTGTGAAATGGCCAGCCTTAAAGGCAGAAAATGCAATTCCAAAAAGGACCTCAAAATGTCACGCCCACTGCGGGCAGCGTGAGGTTGCATTTTAAATGTTGAGGAGGTGAACCTGGATAAGAATCCCTGAAACCTGGGTACCTGGCAGCCTCTCCCACCTCATTTCGAGATGATCCTGAGAAGCAGCACCACAGAGTGGAGAGAGTGCCAAGGAGGGCCAGGCACCATGAGTCTGAGGCCTTCTGACCTCGGGCACCTGCTCTGCTCTCAGAGCCTCGTTTCTTCCTCAGTAAAGGGGCAGGGACACTAACCCTCCCCCTGCTGCCCTGGACTTGGAGAGTGACTGCATAAGGAAAAGGGCTTCATGAACTTCAAGGACTGTCCACATGTGAGATCCCAATTCTGAAAGTTTTAGTAATAGCCTAGTATCAATTTTTATTTTTATTTTTAGCCGAGACATTAAATATTCTCCTTCTTCCTTTCTTCATTTAAAATAAGGAAAGCAAGCCCCATTCTTGGCTGAAGTCAAAACATCTCTAATTAAATCTTCTATTACACTAGTTCCAGAGCCCAGAGCATCTGACCCCATTTTTACAAATTGATGTCTAAGAATCAGGTCTCCACTGCCCACCTGGTTCAAGAATGCTGGGCTTGGGAACAAGTAGACATCATGGTATCCAAACGCCCAGCCATGGGGCCCCTGAGTCTGGTAAAGTGTTTCTTTAAAATGGGAAAGTGGCAGGAATAGAAGAGCTACAGCCAGCTGTCCTCACCCTAGTATGAGGAAATAGCATTTGTTTGGTTTTGAAGAAATGCCATTTAAAAAAGAATGCTAAGCTCACACGTCTGTATTTTTTCTGTAGGGCCATCTTACTCTAGGATGACAGGGCTCAAAGAGACACAGGTAACATCCCGTCCAAACACCATATTCACAGAGGAGGAGTCCAAGGCCCAGAGAGGGAAGGGACCTGTTCAGGTCACACAGCAAATTAGAGGTCAGGCATAGGACAGAGGGACCCTCCTCCTTGGCTCTACAACACGCACTAAGTCACAGAGCTTCACCAATCAGCCGCGGACAAACGAGGTAAAGAGTCACAGCGCACACACCCCTCCTCTAGCCCTTTAGAGTTACAAATATTCCACAACATGATCTTCCCCGGGAGGAGTAGTTAAAAAAAGAATTCTCTCAGAGCAATTCATTTCAAAAGTATAAAAAAACCACGTGCAGTCTAGACATTTTCCCCGTGTTTGCCCTGCTAAAAACTACATCTGCATATGAATCTAGTTTGCATCTAATTTTTAAAAACATACAAAAGGGGTCATCTACAAACAGTTTTTTTCCAACTTGCACAAAGGGAAACCATCCACCACTTGACTTTCCCATCATCCCGTGATCGAGCTTCTGAGACCCTGGAAGAAAAGAGGAAAAAGTTGGAGGACAGAAGCCTGCTCTGTCACAGTCAACTTCCTGTTGCATGGAAGGTGGGGGAAATGGCACCCTTGGCAGTTTCATGGCGTCCACATTTTGGTTTTCTGTGCATCCCTATAAACCTGCCATAGGCCTTGTACACAGGAAGTATCTAACAAGAGTGGCTGAATCATATTCATCACAACCACAGCAAAAAACTAATGCCTTTCAAATTGTTTCTACTTTTTCCCGCTATTGAAAACTCGTCAGTAGGCCTTGGTGACGGTGCCTGTTCACAACTATTCCTGCCATCCTGTAAGAGAATGCCTTCCTTTTGGTTGGTTGAGCGTCATCCCATGCACCTAGAAATTGCTGGTTCGATTCCCAGCCAGGGCACATGCCAGAGTTGTGGGCTAGATCCCTGGTAGGGGGCAGGCAGGAGACAGCCAGTTGATGTGTCTCTCTCCTTCTCCCTTATCCTCCCTTCCTCTCCCTCTTAAAAACAAACAAACAAATAAATAAATAAATAATCAATACAAAACATATTTAAAAAAACACACACACAAATAAGATCATACTCCCTGCCCTCGCCTTCTGTGAGAGGAGAAGAGGCCACCCACCCCTCTAATGCTGGATACAGAGTTAAGCAGATGAGACAAACGTTGTATCCCATCAGAAACTTTAAAGGAGCTTATGTACTTGGTTTGGCCTCTTGCTCATCCCTCTGCCACGAGAGTGGACATATTCCACGGCCGGGCTGCTCCTCCAGCCGGGTCCCCGCCTGGAGGGGAAACACAGCCAACCTGCCACCTCGACGTGGAACGTGAGGAGGAGATAAATGTTGGCGATCTTTTGGGGGTTGTTAAGCAGCAGAAGCTGGCTAATAAAGGATTCGTTTTCTAAGTTCACAGTCCGCCTTTTGGCAGGGCACAGCTCTCACCCAGGTGACTCTGAGGACTCAGGCCCCCTGGCACAGGGAGACGCAGGCTCTCTGCAGATGTGCTGCTAAGAGACACAGGGAGGAACCGGGACGCAGACAGAGGAGGCGCAGGCATCTCCTCTGGGGGCATGTGGTGCTGACACAGTGACTGTGTCTGTTCTCCCGGTGCCTCTCTGGGGGGATCCACGGGAAATACTCCACTCAGCCTCAGAAACAGAAAGAAACCACCGGTCCTTTTTACCGTGTGGATGCCCGTAACGTTCACAGCTCTTGATGAGCACGGTAGGTGGGAAGCCCAGAGTCATTTGTGCCTAGAACACACTAGAGATTCTACCTGCTAACTGCCGTATGTTCCTACTCTTGTTTTGTATCCCGGCTTCCTACATTTATGTGTGTGTTTTTCTTTTTATCGCACATCTTTATAAGCCATCTCCATCTCTTGGGACACAGATGTACAAATACCGAAAAGGACTTAGAACACGTACTTACTCCGTCACATGCGGTCGTGTGGAGCTGGGAAGCGAGGGGCTCTGTACGTGCTCAGATCGCCAACCGTCACCTTGCCCTGGGACTGGGCCTCCCCCACTGCATTGGCCGAGGTGCACTGGTACACTCCCTCGTCTTCCTTTCTCAGAGGGTTGATCTAGAAATAAAGCAAACAAGCTTACAGAGTTCTCTGTGGCCCAGCAAAGCCACGTCCTGATGAGTCTTGGTGATACCTCTGAGCACTTGTTCCTTTTCTAAATAAGCTAGAGCTCCCTCTATTTCTCTCCTTGCCTTGGCTGCCAAGGAAGAATTTAAATTTCGTCCTAGAACCCTCTAGCGTGGCTCTTGTGTTGAGGTTGCCTCTGCATCCCTGCCTTTTACTATGAACTACCGGGTCCTCTTATTGAAGGGGATAGGTATAGGTTATAAGGAAAATATTGCAAATGAAAAGAACAAAAATCTACTGCCCAAGGAATGGCCCACGGGGGCACCCAAAGGAGGCAGCCTTCACAAATGGACACCAGAGAAAACCTTGCCTCCACACTATTTTTGTAATGAAGGTTGGGAATGTTAGGAAGTTGTCAACCCAAAGCCCTCTTTTTACAATTGTGGACACCGAGGCTCAGATTAAAAAAAGCCACGGACCGAACTGCATTCTGCGTCTCTGAGCTGGATGCCGAGGATTTGCCAAACCTTGTAGAGATGGTGGCGAAGGGGGAAGACACCCCGAGGGCACCCTGCTCCCGGCCCCTGCAGAGCAGATCCACAGCAGCTCTCTCCTCTCTTGCTCTCTCTTGTTAGAACAACCTCTGTCACTTGCGAGTCACTCTGCAGACCGGGGAGGACTGTTGCACACCCTCTCTTTTTGAACTCACGGTGATCACGGGTGAAGGGGGAGCAGCGTCATCCTCATGCTACAGGAGCCTCGCAGGTAAGTCACAGATTATTAGACTCATGTGGCCCTTGGCTGTCCAGTCCAAAGCCCTCTTTTTACAGTTGTGGACACTGAAGCTCACAGAGTTGGAGCGACTCGGCCAATATGAACCCCCATCTCATCACTTCATTGCTCCTTCAAACACCTGGCATTCCCTCATCTTAGCAAAACTGCTGCGAGTGGCAGAGAAAAGCTATGAGAAGATGTGAAAGTGACGTCTTTCCTCCTTATCAGCTATGTGGTCTCGGGCAAGTGTCTTAGTTTCCCGTGGCTGCTGTAACAAATTACCACATACCGAGCGGCTTAAAGCAACACAAACTTACTATCTACACTTCCTGAGGTTGGAGTCCAAATGTGTCTCAGTGGGCTACCATCAAGGGTGTGGGCAGGGCTGCTTTCTTTCTAGAGACCCCAGGGCCGTGGTCAGCAAACTGGGGCTCGAGAGCCACATGCGGCTCTTTGGCCCCTTGAGGGTGGCTCTTCCACAAAATACCACGGCCTGGACGAGTCTATTTTGAAGAAGTGGCATTAGAAGAAGTTTAAGTTTAAAAAATCTGGCTCTCAAAAGTAATTTCAATCGTTGTACTGTTGATATTTGGCTCTGTTGACTAATGAGTTTGCCGACCACTGCCCTAGGTGAACATACGTTTCCAGTGTACAGGCTGCCTGCATTCTTTGGCTTGTGGCCCCTTCCTTCCATCTTCAGAGCCAGCAATGGCGAGTCATGTCTTCCTCACACTGCCGTCTCTCTCCTGCCTCCTTCTTCCACATTTAAGGAACTCTTGTGATTTTATTGGGCCCACCCAGATAATGTGGGGTTACTTCCTTATTAAAGTCATGTAATTAGCAAACCTTCATTCCATCTGCAGCCTTACTCCCCTCTTGCTATAACAGAAACCATCCTCAGGCTCCAAGGACTAGGACAGGGACCTCTTCCCAGGACCATAATTCTGCCGGCCACGGAAAATCACCTGCTTTCCTCAGAGGTCCAATGAAAACTGGGTAAGATCAGCTTTGAAACATGTAACATGTTATAGAAATATAAAGGGTGCTTTACAAGGGCCAGTCAATAGTGGCCAGTAATCTGAAACGAATGAGCTACTCACCAAAATCCAGGCTGTGGCCTCGTGGTCCGAAGGACCCCCTCGCACCTGGACAGCGATATTAACGTGGTCCCCAGGCAGGTCCTCCAGCACCTGGGCACCCTCAGGAGACCGTGTGATCTGAAGAGGACAGGAAAGCCAGGGATGGCTCAGAAAAGGCATTTCTTGAGACCATCACCCACAGACATCCTCACTGTCTTCATCTTGCCACCGGAGGGGCAGGCCAAAACCCTAATAGCTCCTATTCCTGTTGAAATGTCAGTCAGTCACGTTAAAAACACAAATGCATACACGGACAGCACACTCTGGTGGACAGCAAAGATTTGGACATCAGCACCGTCTTGCAGAGGCAGGTCGGGAGTTCTCAGGGCTGTTGAGACGAGGCACAGCCTATGCTGGGGTCCGTGCTAGTCTCTCAAAAACTGATCTGCAGGAAGATCTAGTTTTGGAACAGGATAGGGCTCTCTGCCACCAGCCAAGTCTTTCTAAAACCCAAGCCAGGTAAGTAGTCTCCTACTTCATCCCCGCTGATCTAGGCTAGATAAACAGCAGAACTTTCTCCACGGCTGAGTGGCCAGGAGAGCAAGTGCCATGGGAAGGATGGCAACCGCTCTTCTCTGGGGAGAGCTTCAGGGTAAATGCTTTGAGGAAATAAACCTGGAGGCAGAGGAATGGTGTAAAAGATATCCTTTTAAAATCCTCTGATCCACACATATGCTCACAAGCACACTTAAAAGAACAAAAAGCCTTTAACTGCCCCCCCAAAACACACACACACACATATGCACACGCGCGCACACACACACACACACACACACACGAGCGAGTGAGATATTGTATATAAATACCTTCCTCCACGTGATGACCGGGGGAGGCACCGCCCTCACCTCACAGGACAGGTACACCTGGGCCCCAGTGATGTTGTGGACACTTCGGGGTGGAATGACGATCACAGGAGCTGGAAGAAGACAAAGGAACACAACCTTCACCCTGCCAGGACCCAGGACCCCGCTTCCAGAATCCCCTGCCAGTGGCCAGCCTGCTGGGACCGTCTAACATGGGGAGGGCAGTGGCAGACCAAAGCTCTCTCCACACACACAGAACACACTCCTAGGCAAGGCACCGTGCAGGAGAGCCTGCCTTAGACCCGGACAGATGCCTGCGTGCTTCGTCACCCATGCCTTTGCCCCACCAGCAGGAACACGGACTCAGAAGGAAAAAGGCAGCTTCCTTAAGCTACCAGCCATATCCGTGGCAGAGCTCCGTTTTACGCTCCCTGCCAGGCCCCGGCTGCCATCTGCTTTTGGCTCAGCTACACGACAGGGTGCTGGGCTCCAGGAGGGGCTGTGTCACTTCACCAACAGCTGAGTCTACTGACAGATGGGCTTTTCTCTTCCTGCACGGAGGGCCCTTCAAAGAAGAACGCCACCTCAGACAGCTGCGTCCACCCTGGAGCCCAGGCCCCCTGCGGTCCTTTCAAGACGCTCATTTGCATATCACAGACTCACAGACTCCACTTGGCCTCCCCCACCTCGTGCACCTCCCCGTGCCATACACACAGGAGCCAGAGGCTGGGAGCCGGGCAGTGCGGGTCTAGGCTGCCAGAGCTTTACAGAAAGGAGAGGGAGGGTGTGGGTGCCCTGGATGGGACTGGAGAGTAGGTAGGTATCCGAGTTAGAAATTCTTAACTCAGACTCCATACTCTGCCCAACTCCCTGTGCAGGGCACCCGCTCTACTCACACTGGGACTAAAAGAATCAAGTCCATGGGCCTTGGCCTTTGGGCTCTCCATCCGCCCCTCAATGTTCCTGCCTCTGCATGGAATACACCCCCTCGCTCCAGAGTAGACAGCTCCCCATCATGCAGGGCTGAGAGGGCAGTGAGAGGGCCTGCACCGCTTTGACCTGCTGAATCATAGTCTGCCTGGCAGGCCAGGGGCTCCCACCTGTCTCACCTGCACAGGAAGGCAGGCTGGCCCACCCTCACCTCTGGCCCTGGCCCCCAGGGTCTTGGGCAAGGTGAACTGCGGGTCCCTGGTGGGGAAATGCTCTCTGCTGGGTTTTGCTGGTCACAGGGTGTTGAGCTGACCTTACACTGTGATGAGTGTGAAAGTGACGGTTTCAGTTAACACAACATGCAGTGGGGGTCAGAAGCTGGTCCGGCAAACAGATGGCTGGATGAAAGCACACACGACAAATAAAAGAGCAAACACATGCATTCTCCAACTGCAGAGCGTGCAGACTCCTGGGGCTTTCCTGATGACTCAGGGACAGCCTGGCCAGCAGGCCTTAAAGAGGAAAAGAAGAACAAAGGGAGGGAGACAAAAGGCTGGAAGGAAAGGGCAAAGGGGAGGAGTGAAAGGATATAGAAATGAGGTTGGTCTGGCTCTTTCAGACAGACTATGAAGCATACCCCATCAAGCTGGTGCCCCCCCAAAAAAATACCTCTGGGGAACTGTCTTAGAGCCACAGAATCTCAAAACTAGAGAGCCTAACTCTTCCCAAGATCCTGTGACTGACCGTCTGCGATGTGCTCATTTAGCCTCCAATTGCATGCCTCTAGTGACAGAGAGCTCACTACCGACGGAGCCGGCCCTTCTGTCCTTGAAAGTTTGTCCTCATTGGAGCTAACAACCCACTTCCCTGTACCTCCCACCTGTTTATCCCAGGCTGCCCTCTGAACCCTGCAGCCCCCCCGGGCCTCCCAAGGGCCTCTAGTGAATTGAATACAGACACTGCCCTTCTTCCCCCTCAGTCTGTCTGACCAGCTCACACCTTCCGTTGTGGCCATCGCACTGCCCTCTACCCACGTCCCTGAGTGTGGCCAACGCCCCTTCAGTGAACCAAGGTCCCAGGCTTCTAACACTGCCCGATGGGCCCAGCCGCCTGCCCGGCTGCCACAAAGAGCCACAGCGCCCCTGCTCCATGGCAGGAGCCCCATCTGCACAGACGACAAAGAGGGGCTGATGTATGCACGTCCGCCTGCGGGCATCGCCTCCCCCGGAGCCCAAACGGCTCCTGGAACAGCGCACAGTGGGACAAGCAGAACCACATCTTACTCCAAAGCCCTCCGGATTCCAAAGGGACCCTCCATCAACATGTTTTACTTTCATTCGAGTAAAGTCATAAATTTTAAATGAGATTTCATCAGTCCCTTTCAGGTCTAAACGAATAAGCCAGTAAATCACATTTCCCGTTTCTCTCCTTGCATTCCCCTCTCCCTCTCTTTCAGTTAGGAAAGGCTGCCCTGCAAATCCTGTCTCTGCCACTGATGCCACGTGGCAGAAAAATACCGTTTCTTTTACTGAAGAGCTTCTGATGATAAAGGGACATTCACATTTTTATTTTTAAATTCACACACAGCACACTCCTTCCTCCTGGCACGCGGGTCTGCGTTCTGAGAGATGCATACGGTTGCGTAACTGCTGCCATAACCAAGTCAGAGGACAGTTCGCTTACCTAGAGAAATTTCCTCCTGTCTCTTTGTCACAGTAATCTGTTTTAAATGTTAACCTGTCTGATTTTACATTGAAAACAATTTTATTCATGACAGTTCTTTACAGTCAGTCATCATCATCGTAGTCTTTGTCACAATGGCAGCAATGCCACCAGCTAACACTGAGCTCGCTGTGTGCGCTGTGTGCGAGGCGCTCTTGTGCTTACGGGGATTATTAACCCATTTGACCTTTCCAGCCTCGCAGCAGCTGCCAGCCGAGGGAGCCAGGTGGGGCGAGGCTATGAGCCTGGGGTCTGGCTCCAAGCTCTGCCCTCTCTTTCCATCACATCCAGGTACACTACTCTTTTCACCCTCACACCAGCCCTGCATCTCTCCCCATTTTACAAACGAGAAAACCGAGGCTCAGGAGGTGAAGTGTCTGGAAGAACAGGGACCCTGAATCTATTGCTACACTGACTTTTATTTTAAAAAATCTATCTATCTATCTATCTATCTATCTGTCTGTCTGTCTATTGATTGATTTCAGAGCAGGAGGGAGAGGGAGAGAGATAGAAAATCCATGATGAGAGAATCACTGATGGGTTGCCTCCTACACGCCCCCACTTGGGATCGAGCCTGAAACGTGACCTCCCAGTTCGTAGGTCGATGCTCAACCAGTGAGACACACCGCTGGGCTCCACACTGATTTTTTAAAGTGAAACATGTGTTATTTTGTTTGGACACCATTCCGGTATAAGAAAACTCCTTAGGGATTATGTCGGGGGTCCCTAAGACAACCCCTTGGTTTGAAGATTTGCTAGGAAGACCACAGGACTCAGCACAGTTTTACTCACAGCTGTGATCACAGTGAAAGGAGACAAAGCCAGTCGGCACAGGGAAGCGGCACACGGGCACAGACTGGGAAATCCAGGTGCAAGCTTCCACGAGCCTCTCCCCGCGGAGCCACGGGACACGCTCAATTCCCCAGCAACACATTGTGACCACATGCAAAATGCCATCTCCCAGGGAAGCACACTCGACACTCAGTGCCTTACTGGGGGCGGCCACCTGCGCCCCCTCTGCCTGCTGCCCCCTGCAGTTCCAGGCTCCCAGGACAGCAGGGGGCAGCTCTCCTTCGCTCAGTTCAGGCACAGTGAGCACTGCTCTCAGCGCAGCACGGCAGGAATCCTGGGATCCCAGTTCCCAGAACCCAGCCGAGGACGTGCCCTGCCAGCAGGCCTGGCTAAGGGTACACTGCTGTGCTTGCTCTTTTCTGCCCGGGAATAAAACCCTCCAGGCTCACCCCAGGGGACCAGCTCTTGTGAAGATACCTCTGAATGGGTGATGTGTCCTTAACACTAGCAGGTCATCCCCAGTACTTCGTCCCCAAGGGCTCATTGGAGTGGGATACTCAGTCTCAGGACTACCACTGGCGGGAGGTTACCAGATTCACATCCTGTCTCGGCCACACCCCCGTTATTATGACGTGCCCTCAGTTTATTCTTCTCTAAAATGGGCACATATAGGAGGGGAGGGAGAAGTAACTTCTCCCTCCCCTCCTATATGCTGATGTGAGGAACAGTCACAAGACTCCTTGCAAACTGTAAAGGCTTCCACAGAGGGACCTGAGGACGGGGCAGGTGGTGCTCCCCCCAGGATGGTCTCCTCAAAGACGCCTCTATTGTCCTCTCCGGAGGCTCCAGAGGGCATGGCCCGTCCTCGGACGAGCCCAGGGCAAAGTCTCACCGTTGCCAGAGCTGCCATCCTCCTGGAAGAGCCAGGCGTTCCCGTCTACCTGCCTTTGACAGGAGTCAGATGGCTTTCGAGAGGGAGGATGGTGCCTGCTCCGTCCAGTCTGAGCGTGCCGGCTTTGTCTTTCCAGCCCTTCCCTGCTCATTACTTGTTTCCTCCTGTTCATGCCGGCAGCAGCCCTGGAAATGCTGGGACGGCACACGTCTACCCGCCGGGTAACAGACAATAGTCACCCAGGTGTGTCCTAACCAAGGCAGCCCTGGGTGGGCAAATGGAACCCAGGGAATCTCAAAGGCCCAACGCGGGAGCTCTGGCAAGTTTCCAACCGTCTCCTCCTGATCTGCACACGGAGACGGTCACTCTGGCCCTCGTCCTCCCCGGCGAAGGGAGAGAATGAATGTGACTGTGCCATTAGCTGTGGGGTCTGTGCAAATGAAAGGGACCGATGTTATCTTTATAGTGTGTGGTGGTCCAGCCCCTCACCCCCTCAGCCGTGCCAGGGGCTGCCGGCGTGAAAGATCTTCCCAAATGCCTCTGAGACAGAAAGAAAGAAAGAAGATCAGAAGTCATCCCCCAGGACCCCATCTGCCTGCAGGAGAAAGCGCCCCGCCACTAGTTTAATGATCAGCCACCGAACAGCCCTTTAATTTATGCTAATAGTCACCTTCCCGTGTAGAATGAGAAGCGGCTTCATCCCGCTCCCCTCAGCCTGCGCCTCACACCCCTCCCTCCGCCTGAAAGGCTTTGGAGCTCGAACACACCCCTTCTTTGTCCCTCTCACAAAGTGGCATTCGCCGCCTCTCCTGGTTACCTGGTAACACACACCTCCAAAAGGCGTATTTCTAAGTGGAGCTGGACTCCCAACCGAGGTAGATTTTCCAAGATTCGGGGTCTCAGGAGCTTATTGCAGCTCCGGAGGCTTGGTGTCCTGGTGGGCACTGGCACAGGGCTCTGTTCCTATCTAATTTAGCTTTCGAAATAGGCCTGCAGGCCCCCACCCCCGCCCAGCGTTAGCAATTCGTCAGAGTGCACACCTGGAAGGAACAACACAGCCTTTTACAGTAACGACAGAGGTAACAACGGAATGCCACGCCGCCTTACAGTTGAGAAACAGAACCGTTAATTCTGTATAGAATGAAGCTTCACCCCTCAGCCTAGCTTGCAAGGACTCTGCCTTAATCGGCTCTGGGTGGGCAAGATGGTACCAATGGTCTCTTAGCTCCGTTCTGCCCACCCTGGACCTCCCTCCCTCTGTGCCTTCGTTTATGCCGTGCTTCCCCGACCCTCAACCTAGGAATCTTCTACTCATCCTTCAAGGCTCCTCTCAGATCCTTCTCCCTGTTCCTCTCAGGAGCCACCACCCAGCACTAACAGAGGAACCAGCAACAAGCCTTGGGGGGGAAGAAAAACAGGTAGATCCAGACTAAGAAACCCTCCAGAATCAACAGTACCCAATCTGCAGCACCTTCCCAATCAGGCCGCCAGCCGGCCAGAGATGCACGGCCCCAGTGAACCCAGGCTGGAGCCCCACCTCCGCGGGGAGCTAGCCAGGTGGCTCCAGGAGACGCCCTCCTGCACGCCTCAGCTTTCCCTTCTATGAAATGGGCGTGAGTCCTGGCCAGGACAGTTGTGAAAATCGAGCAAGAAGATGGGATGCAAATATATGTGCTGAATATATTCCAACAGTAAATAATTACTCAGATGTGGGAATGCAGTGGGCCTTCAATAAATGCGTGTTAACCAGAGGATGACTCTCATTATCAGGCATTTTGGGGGCATTGCAGAGCGCGGGAGGAAAAGGAAGCATGTAGGCCTGAAAACTGTTTCCAAGCGCTCCTGAGAGGCACGTGTAAGAACACCTTCCCTGCTGTGCAGAGCGTCATACATATGTTCGGCGGCTTCGCTCTGTGAAAGTGGGAAGCTCGCAGAGTGAAAGGGAGGGTGAGGAGCTGGGGAGGGGTGGTGGCTTTATGGCCAGTTTTGAGGCAGAACAGCTGCAGCCATGACTGAGTCTGCTTCCCTTCCACCAGGGTCCCCAGGGGCTTTGTTAAAAAAGTGCTCCCGCTGCGTCCTCTGCATGGAGAGAGGGTGGCTGTAGGCAGCACAGAGGGAGGTGCCGCCCGGCCTCGGGCCAGCTGGGAAAGAGCCGGTCCACACCTTCAGGCCCCACCAGGGCAAGGGCAGGGGCCACACGTGCATCTCAGGACAAGAAGGGACGGGAAGACAGCGCCGTCTGCAGCGGCTGACAATTACGGGTGGGGAAGGAGAGGTAAATTCTGGGGAGGCCCGGTGCCTGTCACTAATGGGATCATTAAAAGCAGCTTCTGGATTGCCTCCCTTTGGCGCCTAGAGCATCTTTTCGCCCGGGGGCTGCTGCCTGAGGGGCGCCTCAGGGCCCATAGATCAGCGTGGAGGGGCTGTCACATTTACTTGTCATTCGGTAATTTTCAGTGAATTAGGGGTATGGGGTTTCCATCTGCCATCTGGCCTCCCGCCGGTAACCATGGCAACCACCACCTGCCTAACTTAACACAATCAAGTCCTGTCCCGAAAAGAGCCCAGAACAGGGTGCAGGGGACCTGGAAGCTGGTCAGGCTTTACCGGTCACCCTGGCTGGTCCCCTGCTCCCCAACCCCCAGCCTCAGGCTCCTCCCCATAATAGTAGATTTGGCCTAAACATCTTAAATATTTTCAAGGCCCCTCTCCCTCTCTCTCCCACACTCTCTCTCTCTCTCTCAAACGGAATTATCTCTCCAGGGAAAAACCATCTGAGACTTCCACACCAGCAGATTCTGGGGACCTGGTCAGCATTTATGTCTCTCCTGCATGTGGAGTGAAGGTGTTACCTGTCTGGAGACAAAGAGCCTGTGAATTAACTGCTGAGGAAAGCAGATTGTAAAGAAACGAGTGACAGGAACCAGAAAAAGGAAGGAGACGGGACTGTTTAAATGCCACCGGGCACAAACAAAGGGACCTCAACAGTGGCTCCACGGGGCTGACCCGGCCCAGAGGGGAAGGGACCAGCCCAAGGTCATTCAGGAAACCGGCAGCACAGGAAGGACCAGCCAGCTCTCTCCCCAACTCGGAGTGGCCATCGGTGACTCCGTGCTCCAGGGAGGCGCAGGAAACGCTGTCTCCTGCCCCGTCTCCAACACCGGCCTCCTGTAATGCTTTTGGGAAAATAATGCTAGAGACTTCCCAATGCCTGCTGAGGCATCCCCCCACCCCCAAGGTGTCCTTGTTGGAGCTGAAGTCATTACACTGACCGAGACATTTAGGCCAGAACCCCACGCTGGGCCCCTGGAGACTCACCCTAGACTCTCCACAGGCCCCTCCAGGCAGCGTGGCAAGGGGCGGTTCTCCAAAATCCAGTGGGCTAGCAGAGTGCATCTCTGGGTATTATTCCTTTACTAATGTTTTGATTTGATTTTTAAAAATCACATAGAGAGGGTGGGCAGCAAGAACACACATCAACAACTGGACTGCAAGGTTAATGAACTTTAAGTTTCTAGGTTCCAAGCAATGGCTCATTTTCGATTCCTTTAAAGTGGGACCCTCTACATTGTAGTAAGCCTTAGCTCCACAAAACCTGGGTCTGCCCCTGGTGGCACTATGATCCTTTCAGAGCCTACGGTCTCCAAAGGTCTGACTTGTCCTGAGTAGCGCTGGTCTGAAGGTCCTCTCCTCCTCCTCCTCCTCCTCCTCCTCCTCCTCCTCCTCCTCCTCCTCCTCCTCCTCCTCCTCCTCCTCTTCCGGCATCTTCACGTCCCCTCCGTCTTCATCCAAACAACCCACTCCGGCGACTTGGACCCGGCGAGGAGCTCCCACTCCCTAACCCCGTCTTGTGGATGAACACATGCTATGAGCTTGGTAAGGGAGGGCAGGCGCAGGATGTGCGTTCCTGCCCCAGTCTCCCCAAGCACCCTGCCGGGCAAGAAAAACCGATCCTGAAGGAAAAACTGGGGCTTCGACAGCGTTGCCCATCGTGGTGCAGAGTTGGGGGGAGGAAAGGGGGGACCTCCTGCGGGACAGAAGCCAGACTCACCAAATTCGCAGGGGCCGTCGCGCACCTTGTGCAGGTGGCCGGGGTGCCTTCCCGGAGCGTGCCGGGCGCGCAGGCGCAGCGCGCACACGCTGGGGTAGGAGCGGCCGTCGGACCCGCACACCGCGCCGCGCTGGGCGCACACGCAAAGCCCGGTGCCGTCGGGCGCCACCCCGGCGGCGGCGGCGCGGCTGGCGCACACCAGCTCGGGGCCGCAGCGCGCGCCCGCTCGGCCCCCGCAGCGCGCGCCCTCGGCGCCCAGGCAGCGCGCGCAGCAGCCGCACTCGTCGCGCGCGGGAATGCCGGGCGCCGGGCAGCGCGCGGGCGCGGGGCAGCGCTCCGGCCGGCACGGACCGCAGTCGGGGCGACGGCTGTCCGCGCCGAGGAGCCCGAAGCCCATTATCGGCGGCGGAGGCGGCAGCAGCAGCAGGAGCAGCAGGAGCACGGGTGAGCGTGCCATCGTCCGCTTGCGGGACGGCAGGGGCGCCTCTGCTCCGCTCTCCGCACCGCGCTGAGGCGCCGCCACTCCGCCCGCCCCGCGGCCGCTGATTGGCCGGGCCCGCACCGCGGGGCGCCGCACGGGCCGCCCGGTCTGGGACCCGGGACCGGTGCAGCCGGTGGGCTCCTGGCCGCTCTGCAGGCTGCACCCGAGGGCTCCTCCTGCAGATGCTGGGGCGCCGTCGGGGCAGGAACTTGCCCGGAGCCTCTGTGTAGTCTGTATTGTGTACTGTACACGGTTTCCAGATCCAAGGCCGGCTCCAAATATTATGCTCCTTCATCCTGTCAAAAGGATGCGCTGTTTTATTTGGCATTTTGTATTTTTCCAAAGTTTCATTTTTAAAAAGGAACACATGGTTTAAAATGTCAAAGTTTACAAATGGAGGTAATGATGTCAAAGGGGATTTCTCTTCCACCCAGTGCCCCAGACCAGCCTCAACAGGGCACTGGGTATCAGGTTGTTGGTGTGTCTGTGTCTTTCCAGGAATTTTGTATGCCTGTAAAAGTGTCATCACATAGCTCCCTCTCTTTAAACACACACACACACACACACACACACACACACACCAGCAGCAGCAGCAGCAGCAGCAGCAGCAGCAGCATGCCCTGTACATTATTCTGTGCTTGGATTCCCCCCATGGTATTTCCTACAGTTTCCCCACTTATTATCATCTTAAAATCAGGCCTCTCGTGCAACTAGTGGAGCATTGCTTAATTCGCTTTCTCCCCTTAATACTATTATACATAAAGTCATGATGCACCTCATGGTCAGGAGTGATCTGGGTTATAATGAGATGTGGTGATGTATTTGGGATTAGGTTTGGGCTTTTAAACTTCGCATCGCATTTAACTGCAGTTATCCAACCCTGAGCCTGTGATATCTGGGTGGAGAAAACATTCCAAAGCTTTGAAGATGATTGTCATCCATTTCCTCCTTTTTTGAAACTGCCCCAAAGCCTATAGCCCGTGAACTCTGGCTCCCAGAGAGCCAGTTAACACTGCGGGCAACGCTTGTGGGCCCAGGGAATTATGGGGGGAAATGAGGATGGCTTCTCAGCGGGGAAGGAAGTTTAGGCCTGTCTGTTGTCTGGCCAGGGTGAAGGAGGCTTTCTGGAAAAGGTGCTTCCTACACTGAAAGAGACAGGAGGAGTTGTCTGGAAGGAGGGCAGAGGGAGGGAACAGTGGGTCCGAAGGCGGGAAGACCAGAGAGAACACCCACAGTGGGGAGCTGCCGAGCTGTGTGGGGGTGTGGAAGCTTAGGAGGCAGGAGGCGAGGCTGGAAAGGACCAGATCACCAGCCTTGCCTGGCCCGCTGGATATGGTGGAATCCAGGCTTGGTGCTGGTAGCATGAATGTCTGACAGGCAGATACTTTAAATGTGGAGGGGAGGGCATAGCATGTTCCCACCAGTGCTGGGGCAGAGGATGGTAAGTCTGCAGAAAGCCTTTCCTGCTTCTCCACTCTTCCCTTCAGCATCTTTTCCCTAGGGCTTCCACCAAAATGCATGGTTTGTTGGGCCACCCATGCAAATCGCCATCTTGTGGACAAGCCAGGGATTACAGATCTAGAAATAACGTTCCTAATTCGTTAGTTTGATAAATGTTTTCTAATAATACAAATGAGCCAAATGAGCTGGGATAAGGCGCTCTCGGTCCAGAGGAGAGAAGAGAAATGCATACAGATAGTCACCCCAGCTTCAGTTTGGCTGGCCTTCATTTTAAAGGGGTCCCCCTCCTGGGGCTCTAGAAATGGCCTCTGCAGGGTCTGATCTGCTGCTCCTGTCTGTTCCTGAGCAGCCGCACCTCAGCTGTGAATCCAGCCTGCCTTCTGGTGCAGTAATCTCATCCCTCCCTCTCTGTCTTCCATCTGAGGTAAACTGAAAGGCACCAAAACCCTCCCTGGGGAGGATGCTGTGCTTAAGCCAGGATCTTGGCCGACCTGGGAAGAGGGCACAAGATGTGTGACCATCCTCAGGGACTGGCATACTTCTTGGCACATGGGTGCTTTGTAAATGTTGGTGACACGAGTGAGGGCAGGAGAGGAGGATGGCACTGGAGAGGTCAGTCCAGCTCTCCTGTGGACTTATCCAGAGTTGCGTCTAGCCTGGGACCATAAATGGAGGTCCCGTCACAAAGGTCACTGCATGCCCAGCTAAGGAATTTGTCTTCGTTCTGCCAGCAGGAGGAGCCAGCCCTGTTTGTGACAGAAAAGGGACAGGATAGGAATACAGGTTAGTTTCATTGTTTTTTTCAAAGAGAGAAAAATGTTCTTAATCAAAGGTCATGCCCACCCCAGAAAGCTAACAATATCACTAGCAAAGAAATTGCACTAGGTCTTCCATATATCTTGGCTACTTTGTTTCTGAGCTTAATAATTAAGCCATAGATTTACAGAATAAATAGAGGCGGTCCTGTGATAAACTCCCAACACTTGAGAGACAAGCATAGCCTTTGTGATGGACTCTTGAATTTCCTTCCGTCTCATGTCACCGGAACTCTGAACCCTGCTGAACACAGGGCTAAACACAGTAACCCTTCCTAACCTGGGTTCGGGTGTAGTCAGTCATCTCTTCCCACACTCTTTGCCTACTGCCTGCAGCATCATTACCTGGCTCCTGGAAAGAGGTCTCTAGTGGAGTGCTCTAGGGCTCTCTGTTCTATTCAGTTGTTGTTTTTAATCAATAACCTGGATGAATTCCACAAAAGTGTTCAAATGCCCCAAAGCCTTAAAAAGGAATCAATGCACATTGGATAGGAGAGGCAATATTCAAAATCGCTTGCATAGGTTGGAGTGGTAGAGACAAATCAAATGTTGACCTAGTCTCCGGATCCATGTAAGTTCTACGTTTTGATTCAACACCAAACAGAAAGTATGGGAGAGGGAAAATGAAATCTGTTACACAGGCGTGACTTCAGGTTCAGAAGGGGTCATGTCTGCAGCATGGTCACCCCTTAGAAATGGGTCCTTATTACTAGGGATGGAATTTTCCTGAACTTAAACCTGTAGACGTGTTTACAGGAAACCAGCGGAGAGTATGCTGGGAAAGAGGGTGAAAACAACTTCTTGGGAGGCTTGGATTGGAGTGCTCGAGTCGGGAGGGCAGAGTATGGGCGATGGTCGGCAGGGGTATGACGGGTCTGAGCTGTGCTGCACGGAGGTGTATGTATGCTCTGAGCCTGGAGCCTAGAAGCTGCAAGGCCGTTAGAGAGCGCTTACCATAGTCTAGACAGGAGGTGCAGAGGGCTGGATCTGGGGCAGAAGCAGTGTGAATGGAAAACACAGTGCATTGATTAGGAGAAGAACTAGGTGCTATAGCCAACTCCAAAGTGTATAATGGTTCTAGCATAGAATTTTATTGCTTATTCGTGTAAAACCTAAAACAGCTATTCCCATTCTCCTGCAGTGTTGATTCAGGGACCCAAGCTCCTTCCAGGTTGTGGCTCCACCATTCTGCATGCCAACTCCATGCTGGCAGAAGGAAAAAGAGGAAGTGAACTAGACATACCCACATCCTGAACCCTCTGGCACAAATGGATGGATACGAACCATCAGGAGGCTTAATGAACGGAGAAGGGGAGGAGCCACAGACAACTAATGGGCGACAAAAGTGTGGTGGGGCCATTGACTGCCTTAGGAGCTGATGGATGCAGCGAGTAGGTACCTGGAGTCTTGTTGACGTTTGATCCTGGAAGATCATTTGGAAACAGGGTGGGCATTTAGAATCCCTGGGCAATTATGGCAACTTAGAAATCTTATCACATTCTCCACCACATCTGTGGGATCCATTTTTAAGTTGCCTCCAACCCTTTCTCCCAGCAAATGGGCAGCCTTGTTTCCAAGGAGAACCTTAAAATCAGTGGGTGGTTCCAGTTGCCTAGTTTATGGCTTGAGGCACAGTCCTACTTGATTGCTGGTAATAATTTTTACAGCCTGCTAGAGGCCTCAGCTGGGCAAAGCTCTGTTAGCTCAGCGGGCCAGCGCTTACGGCAGGGGCCTACAAGAGACAACCTGGGCCCGGGAGAGAGGAGGTTCCCGTTGACTTGGTCTGAGAAGGGGAGGAAAAGTAGAAGAGCCAGCGGTGTTCTGAAACAAGGAAGAAGGCCACCCGCTTGTTTTGATTTCTCTGGTAAATGTTTGACTGGGTGTTTGCCTTTTCTGGGAGGGTTTTTTTTTTTTTTTTTTTTTTTTTTTTGCCACTGTGAAGAGAACTGGGTGGAACACCAGACGGTCAGTTGTAACCAAGAGTCTGGAGAAGCTCTAAGGACAGCCTGAGAAGCAGAGCGCTCCCTGGGGCTGCGGGTGGCGCTTTCCCACCGAGATGATGTCCACAAACGAGAGGTGAGTTTCGAGACAAGGTGTGGGACAAGTCACGCTGGACACCCGTGGGTCCTGGCAGCTTCCTCCTCTGATGTTGGTGACGCATGGAGATCGGGAGAAAGGCCTGGTTTCGCTCGTGTTGTGAGCAGGCTGGCACAGAGGAGGGAATCATGGATAGGGCTCTCGGGTGAGTGAACAGATTTCATTCATCTTCACTTTGGAGCCACTGAGTGGCATGGGAAGAGTCCAGGCATGGAGTTAGAGGACCCGGGTTTGAATCCTGGCTGTTTGAATCTGCAATTTCTGGCAAATCTCAATAAATCGAGAGGGATAACCCCCGTCCTTCTTAGCCCACAGCTTTGTGGAGGTCAGTGAGAACAGAATGTGGCAGGGCTTTGTGAGGTGCCAAGGCCTGCCCAGATGTCAGGAATGAAGAGTTCTCATTCAACCATGCAAATGTCTGAGATCTAAGAATGGAAAAGTCTACTCCAGATATACACAGAATAGAACTCCGCCCTCAGGGTGATAGTGTATCTGTTTAGATTGTCGGGGGATGCTGGGGAAGGCAGAGGGAGAAAAGGAGGCATGAGAGCACAGGCAGGCATCCTGAGAGTCAGTTTGAGTTGGAGATCCCAGGGGTCGCAGGCACAGGCAGGAGAGGGGTAGAGCAGTGCGTGGAAAAGGGCACGTGACGGGAAATAGACTAGAGATTGGCTTGAAGGACGGGGACCAAGAGCAGGGAGTCAGCTCTTGGTCCCCCTCCAGTGGGTTGGGGCAAGAACTAGAAAGCCCAAGGGAATGGATCTCTTTCTCTTCCCTCTCCAGCTGGGTTCCTTGGGCTCAGAGGGACCAGGGGAGTCATGTGCTGGAATATGGACTCTTAGGAAGTTGGTCAGAGGGATGGGAATGGGCTGGAGAGGGGCAATGCTGGAGGTGGGAGACTGGGCAGGAGGCTACTGCAAAGTCCAGGCGAAGATGACAGTGGCCTGGACTAAGCAGGGAGCTGCAGGGACCAGGATGTATCGAAAGGCCAATTGAATTCGGTAGTGACTGGAGAGGCTGAACTGACGGGGCTTGTATGGGAGTGACTTGGAGAGGAAGGAGCTGAGGATGACTCTGAGTCTTTGGCTCAGACTAAAGGGTGGATGATGGTGCCATTCCTGAGGTGAGGGCCCCCAGAGGAGGAGCAGGTTGGAGGGGTGTCCAGTTGGGACATGTTGGACTGGAGTACCGTGGGACATCCAAAAGGAGATGACCAGAAAGCAGTCAGCTGGCTTCATGGTCTGGACTCAGGAAAGTGTGGGCTGGACCCCAAGAACTTGGCCCGCCTGAGGTGCCAGTGTGGCCTGGAGCCCCTGCCATTTATTTGAAGTCAGCACCATGCTCCCCACGCATCCCTCTCAGGACCTTCTCTCCAGCACGGTCATCCCCTTGGACATGGGCCAGCTGGCCAGGGCCCTTCTCTCAGGGTGGGGCTCAGGCCTGAGCATGTTGTTCAGATTTGTCTGCCCGGTGAGGCTAAGGGGTCACTGCCTTCTCCAAGGACCACAGACACAGACCCCTGTTCAATGTCTTAATGTAATTTTGTGTGTGAAAATGTTTCCTGTGCAGAAAATATAACGAGGGTTCAAATGATAGCTCTGCTGCTTTCTAGCTGAGTGACTTTGGGCATTTACTTCTTTCTCTCTTAGCCTCAGTTTTCTCATCCATGAAGTGGGAATAATAGTCCACACCGCCTAAGCTGTGAAAGGATTAAGTGAGACAATAACCATAAAGGCCTTAGTTCAATGTCTAGCCTGTGTGAAACCTTCACTACGTGATAGCTAGTATTATTATTTTATTAAGTGAAAAGAAATGAAAACAAATGTTGCTTTATTGGACAGGTAAGCAGGGGAGGGAGTAGAAAAGTGAGCTTCTGTCTTCTTTTCAGTCACCTTTTTCTTTCATGTCGCTCTCTCCAGACTTTTCAGACATGTGTGAAAGCACCTGAAACACAGTCTCTACAGGAGGGCGCCTCCCTGGAGCCGACCTTTCCGAGCCGTACCGTAAGCTCAGAATGACTGGGCAAGGTCAGGGCACAGGAGAATAAACAGAGATCTGGGCACAGAGGGGGAAACAGGGAGGTGCTGGGAGAAAATGAAATAAAGACGGGCCAGATACGAAAGGCCAGTGGATACCTAACCTCTAATCCTATTGGCTTAAGTTAGTGCCTGAGTGTGAGCCCCTCTGTGAGCCGTGACCTCTCTCTGACCTTGCTCTGAGGATCCCTCGAGGCCTAGAGAAGGAGGATGCTGAGTCAGCTATAAAGCATCTTTCTTTCCTGAGGTGCCTGTAGCTTGGCTAGAGGAAGGTCCCACAGCTGGGCCCCAGTGGAGAGCTCTGTTGCCGAACTGGCCACACTGGTTCTGTTTCTCTGAGATGGTTAACCAGCTAGGTCTGGTGGAGCCAGGGCACCCAGCCAGGGTATCCAGCTCCTTGGCACAGTGGCTCTTGTGTTTCTTGATAATACTGGTGCCACCCTAGGAGGGCACCCCAGAGGCTGCTAGGGCCAGGCTGCTGCTTGAAGTCCCCACTGCCACCTTGTGAAATAGTGTGTGTGGGAGGTAGTTGTAGGGAAGGTGGGAACAGACCATGCGTTTCAATTAAAATCAGCATGCATTTCAGTTAACAAAGTACCATTCCTACCCATTCTCCGACAACCTAGGGAAGTGATGGCATCACTCCCATTCTACAGATTCAGCAACCGAGGCTTCAGGAGGAGAAATGGTTCACCCAGGATCTCAAGGTGTCTGCCTCCAAATCCCAGGCTTTTTCCCTCCAGTCCCACCTGAGGACCCTCACAAGCATAGAAACACCCCGAGACACGCACTCTGAGGAGGGCACTGACCCAGAGCTGACCTTTCCTACCTGCACAGCCAGGTCAAAATGAATGCAAGAAGTTGAGGCAAAGAAGAAAACAGAGATTTGGACACACAGAGAGAAGAGAGTCTCTGGGAGAAAATAGAAGCATGTCTTTCACTGTAGGACTTTTCCCTGATTCTCAGAGACACAGGAAGTGACAGACGGGAGACAAACCAACAGGCAATTAGAGAGCGAGGTAGACAGAGATGCAGGTGACTCTCCGGGGAGACTGTCAGAGGCAGGCCTGGGGCGTTGGAGGGGGATGGGAGAGGGGGGTGGGCCAGCGACACTGTCAGCACAGTGGCAGGCAGCCTGTGTGCTTTGTGTGATAGTCACAGACTTAATTTTATTTTATTTAAGACACATAAACTTCCTTTTAGAAAAGTGTGCAAGCTGATACACAAGAAGAGAGACTAGTGTAAAGAGCGCCCCATACTCTCATCACCCAGCTCCAACAATTGTCAACGCACATGGCCATCTTATTTTGTTGGTTCTCCCACCTGCTCCCCCTCCTCCAGACAGCCTGTCAGCTCACCATGGGTTTCACTCACAAAAAGAAGTTTACTCCCCCCCCCCCCATGGAGTTACTCTGCTGTGCACAAATGAGCTGTCACACATTTACCCTTAACTCTTCACAAGTCCCTGTGATTCTCACATCTTTGTCCCAGGAGAGCTCAGACTGTCCTGGCCACGGGAACAGAAAATTAGGTTGACAAGACATAGAATGTGACAGTTGGGAATTACACGATCATCCCCATTGCCAGAGTTTAAGTCCTGGATCCCCAACTCACCCGCTGGGTAAGCTTGGACAAATTTCCTGATCTCTTGATGCCTCCGTTTCCTCACCTGTGAAATGGGATAACAGTACCTCTCTCTCAGGGCTGCTGTGAGGGTGACGTTAGTAAATAATAAAAGGATAACCCTTGGAGGATAAGCTTGGTGCACAGACAGCCCTGGAGAAGTGTTAGCTCTCCATCCATCCATTTAGGGAACATCAGTGAGCATGTCAGGCTAGGAGCTGGGCCCGTGGAGATGAATGCCCTCGAGAAGCTCCCCATCCATTGGGGATACAGACCCATAAAAAGACATTTCTAAATGGTGGGCTAAATCCCAAGCAGTCCAACTTCGCAATTAACAACTGACTACATTGAGACCCATGAGTCCCTGGATGTTAGGGGCCACGGCACTTAGCACCAGGGCTGGGGTTAACTCCGCTGGTTTTCCTGGCTAGGCCTCTTTTCCTGAGGTCTCAGAGGAGGCCGGCGGCTGGCACGGCAGAGGGACCATTCTGGGCAAGGGTGACATGCTTTGGGCCACCCTGCAAGCAGCATGGAAGGGGAAGGCTGGTCACAGGGCCAGGCGTGGGCAGCAGCCCTGGCTACTGGTTAACCAGGCTAAGGACTTCAGTCCACTGTGTGGTCAGGAGTACAGGGTAGGGGTGCTCCTGACACCCCACACCTAGCAGGAGGCCAGGGATGCCAGGCTGGCTGCCCACAATATGCACTTGATTGAGGCTTGGGGTCGGGCGCTCAGCCTGGAGAATGGTGGAGACCTCCAGGAGGCAGAGGAGCAAACAGTCTGGGGTCTGAGGAGTTAGAGAAACACAGCCGGTGAGAGTCTCCTTTTTTTTGGTCAGAGCTATTCAAAAGCAAGCAGGGGATCGAGAATGAGGATTAATGCTGAACACTGAGGCTGTTTTCAGGGAGAAAGAAAGTAAATGATCTCCACTCATTCCACCACTTCACAACCTGGGATCCTACAGTTTTATAATTTTCTCCATTTAACAGCATATCATTAACACTTTTCCAAGGCATCACCACTTGAAAGTGGACCTTCTACATTTGGGGGTGCTGGTTTGCTGCTGCCCAGCAGGTGTTATCCACCCCCGCAACAGACCTGCCCCACCAGCCCTGGACCCACAAGGTCTCACAGGCTTTCTGAATTGGGTTGACTTGGGTGCATGCTTTATGTGTCCACTGAAGTGGCTGCTGGAGCAGAAGCATGGCTGATGGTTCCAGCCTCCGTGACTCGGGAGCCACGGTTTGCTGCTCTGTTGACTGAGTTTGCTGACCACTGGGATAAGGGCTTAATCACAAGGAACAACAACAGCCGGTACTTATTGGAATCGAGGGTCTAGGTCAGTGGTCAGCAAACTCATTAGTCAACAGAGTGGCAAACCGCGGCTCACGAGCCACAGTTTGCCAACCACTGCCCTGGGATGTTAGCTTTGGAGGGGTGGCAGCTGCTGCCAGTACCAAGGCCTCTTTCAGTGCAGAGGGGTGGGATGTACCCCTAGATGGGGTGCCTCAGGAACTGGAGCTTTTGGTCCCTCCCAGGTGCCACCTGTGATCTGGGCACTGCCTCTTTCTGAGTGACCCATATGTATTACTCCCGGAGACCTAAACACCACTGTCCCACTGGTCAGCCGGGGTGGGAGGATGCTTGGGTACCTGAGAAATCCCAGGTCATCATTCTGTGGTCAGTGGGCAGCCCCATCCTGCTTCAGCTCCTGCACTCCTTCTCCACTGGCCCCACAGCCTGGACCGTGTCTGCTGATGCTTCTTCTCTTTGGTTTGGTCCCAATCTCTTTCCACTGCTCAGAGTCTGCAAGATTTTCTGGTAGATTTTCTTCTTGCTTTCAAATATGGCCATATTGTCTTTCTTTAAAAAAAAAAAAAATCACATCTGATGGTTTTGTATGGGAAGGGGAGACTGATGTATGTGCTCAGTTGACCTTCCTGAAAGCCAGAGTCTGCGCTTTACAGTTCTATCACACTGCTGACAGCGTAAGCTCTTCCCAACCCCCTCCACTTCTGGGATGTTTCAGACTCATCGTTAGACAAAACTGGGGAGCACTGGAATTTTAAAGAATTATGAGGCAATGTGTCATGCTAAGGGCTCCCCAGCGGAGTGCTCTCCCCTGAGACTTCTGAGGGAAAAGTAGGAGCTGGCCAGGGAGAAAGCACAGGAGATGGCTGGATGGATGCTGCGGGACTAGGGAACAGAGTGAGCAGAGACCTGGCGGTGTGCAAGCATGCAGAGCTGGTGCGGTGGAAGTCCGAGCAGCATGGGCAAGTGTGTGAGAGCCCCAGAAAGGAGGTCCCTTTGTAGAGACGTCACAGAACTGTCTGTCACATGTTTCAGATGTGAGACCCAGCAGCCCTGGCCTGCAGACTGAAGCCTGGGGGGACAGAGTCCACACTCTGTCGTCCACGTAACCGCTGTTCTGCCCTGAGGGCCCAGCCTCGGTTCAGAAGTGAGCTGACGCTTCTTGACCTCTGTTTATGAAAAACTGTGTCCAAAGGCTGGTTTCCTGCGAAGTTACGTCAGGGCTTCTCAGGGTCCTTCCAGGGCTGCTGGAGGGTGAGAGCACCTTAGTTCAGTGTTTACATGGAGATATGTTTTCCTTAAAATATGGAGAAAGTAAGGTATTTTGTAGTTTCATTTGAAAAGGATGTCCAAATGATATAAGCGTTTGGCCCTTTAGGACCTGAATCTGTCCCTGACTGTGTCATCAAGAAAGGAAGGAGTTAGGCCCAGTGGGCAGGGCAGTTGGGTAGATGATCAGGCTGGAGAAAGAAATCAGGGAAAAAGGTTAATCCACTCAGGGAAGGTACGTCACAGACGAACAGTACTGGCTCTGAGAAAGCAAAATTTAAAAAGATCAGATGATCTTGGTGGACTGCAAGCCAAATGCCCGCAGCGGTGACCGATGATATGAATGTGTTTTTTGGCCGTTTTCCAGGACAAGGCAGTTGAATGGCACCTGTGCTGGCTTGGTGGACATGGAACTCTTTCTCCATTACTCCCTCATCCCATCAGTAAGTAAAGCAGGAGAGGGCTGTGGAGGGGACGGAGGAGGAACTGGGCTGCTCCCCTACACAGGCTCCCAAGGGGGCTTGAGGGGGTCAGCAGATTTCTGGACTTGCTCTCCTACGTTACGCACTAAAAACACAGGCAGAAGAAGGCTTTTAACGGTGTAGAGTCAGAGATCCTGGCTTTTTAGGGAAGCAGTGGTTGAGCTGGGTTCTGTTGGGAGATGCAAGAGACAGCATGTCAGGCAGAAGGAAGGGCACGTGTAAAGGCTCTGTGTGTGTATGTGTTGGGGAGGATTGGAGTGTGAGTGACCGGGAGGGCTGGTGTGGCTGGAGGGAATTGAGGCAGAGCTATCCAGGGAGGTGGGCAGGGCCAGGCCAGGAGGAGCCCTGTGGGGCTCTGTGCAAAGGAGTTTTGTCTTTATTTTAAGTACAATGGGAAGTAATTAGAGTGTTTCTAGCATGAGGGCGGTGTGGTCAGATTTATGTTTTGAAATGATCACTCTGGTTGCAATGTTGGGATCATGTTGGAGGTGGGCCAGAAGTTGACAGGAAGACCAGTTAGGAGGTGGTTGTGGGGGTTCAGGTGAGAGGCAATTTTACCTCACCCTAGATGATTGTGATTAACTCAAGACATTTGGGAGTAAAAGCAATAGGGCTTGGTAATGGATTGGATAGAGAGGTTAAGGAGAGGGCAATGTTGAGGACGACTCCGGTTTCTAACTTGCACAGCTGGGAGGATGGTGGTGTCTGCCATTTTCTAGTTAAGGAACATATGAAGAGGTCTAGGTTTGGGGTGGATGAAGGAATAGGGCAGCGAGGAAAATCACGAATTTCATATAAGATGTACTGGATTCAAGAAGCTTTCAAAAAGAAATGCCAACGGGGGTGGGGGGGAGGGAGGAGATATATCTACTACTATGTGTAATATTTTAAACAATAAAATAAAATTTTTTAAAAAAGAAAAAAGAAATGCCAACTGTGTAGTTGGAACATTTATGGAACTCAAGGATAAGTCTGGGCTAAAGATGAAGTTTGTGAGTCCCCTGTGTGTTGGTGGTCATGGACATGGATGAGGTTGCTGAGGAAGAGAGGACTGGGTAATAAGAAGAGTGAACCAGGAGGAATTCCAAATATCATGGGTGGATAAAGAATGATCTGACAATGGAGACTGGGACGTAATGGAGAAAGCCCAGGAAAGCATGGAAGACAGGGAAGAATGGCTCTAGGAGGAGAAGGTGGAAGCATGCTGCTGGAAGGTCAAGCCAGAGTTGAGCTTCAAGTTCACATCGTATGAAACAACGAGATGGTAATTAGTGATGTTAGCCAACGCTGTTTCGGTGGAGCGATGGGGGCAGAAGCCAGGTCAGGAGATTGAAGAGCAAGTGAGAGGTAAAGAAATGGAGTCAGCAAGTGTAGACAAGTCTTAAGAAGTTTCTAGTAGAAAGGAAGAAGAAAGGGCCTCAAATATGTGAGAAAGTGACTGAATCCACAGCGGGGAAAACAAGGGAGGATTTGCAACCTGACAGTTATTTTTCCCTTTTTACAGATAAGGAAACGGAGATTCGGGGAAGTTAAGTGTCATAACCAGTATATGAGAGAGACTAGATGTGAGCTCACGTCTGTTCAGGGCAACCCAAAGGAAAGCTCATTACAAAACATTCTGGAAGCTCCAGGGTGCGTGCAGCCACTCGGTGCCCCGGCGTTTGAGCAGAATACACATTCTGAGCGCTCTCCTCACCCACACGTATCGTTCAGAGCTGACACCAAGGCCACACCCAGGATGGATATTCCCACTGACCCTCTCATCTTTCCCCCCTGTAGCTCCTCATCATTTTGGTCTTGTCCTTTCTCCAAAGACGGGAGCACTGCAAACAGAGAGATGACACTTCTTACCTCCTGGGGAACTACTTTGGAATTATCATGTGAGTAGAGCCAGGGCTGACCACTGCAGCTTCTGGTATCAGTGACTGGGGCCAACACCCATTGTCAGGCCAGGATAACTCCCAGGTACCTCCCCCACCGACCTCTGCCTCCCTGTGGTCAGCCTTACCCCAACCCAAACCAAGCCCTGAGAGTACAGAATTGACTTCCACGCCATTGTATTCTAGCACCCAAGGCTGCTCAGATGTGCTTACTAGGAAAACATCTCAAGGAGGCTCAGATCTCTATGGGAAAGGCCTTCCTACAGTCAGCACTATGGCTACACCAGGAAGCAGGAGGGAGAGAGTTCCTGTCCCCAAGGACAGCATGCCTTCTTGTTAGGATGGCACCATGAGTCCTGCACCAGGAGAGCCCACTGGACCAGGCACTTTCATAGATGAAACTCATCCCATTTTGCTTGTTGTCATGGCTGCTGGTATTCTTGCTTATATCCTACTAGACAAGGGAAAGAATTTTGTCTTCCTGAGATAAACCAAAAAAACTCATATATTTACATGCATGGCCCATGGACACAGACAATAGTGTGGTGAACGCAAGGCAGGGAGGGGGCATGTTAGAGGCTGGGTGGAGGGAGTAGAAAGGGGGAAAAAAGGAGACATCTGTAATAATTCTGTCAGCAATAATATATATATATATATATATATATATATATATATATATATATTTATATTTAAAGAATTTTGTCTTCCTCACTTCAGTCCTCTGAATCCCTGCCTTGCCCCAGAAGTGGCGCAGAGGGCTCAAGAAAAATGTCATTTGAAATGAATAGTCCACTACCCAATAGTTCATCCCTCAAGGTGGGATTGGGACTTTGGAGATGAATGTGGGATGTCTCAGAGCCACCTTCCGGCCCCATGAACTGTTTCTCTTGTTCACAGACCTCTGGACTTCGTGGGCACCTTTAGCAATCGATGGTCCTACGGAATTGCGTTCGGAGCCACAGCCAATAATGTCATGTTCCTGTTCTCAGAAGGCTCCCAGCTCCTGCGGACCCCGCAGTGGGCCCGAGGTACCAGGACCGCCTCATAACTGCTCGGAGTTTAACCATGGGAGTGCTTGCTCTCAGGGACAGCATGCAGGGGTTCTCTGGGGCCAGAGGGTAAGCTCTGCGAGTGAACTCAGTGTTTTTTCCCAGCCTGCTGCCTGTCCAACATCAGTGCCTGGCCCACAGAGTCTCAAAGCTTGTGTGAGGGGCTTCCTCCTAGGTCTGTGGTCGGTACGTTGTAGCTCTTGAGCCACATGCGGCTCTTTGGCTCCTTGAGGGTGGCTCTTCCACAAAATACCACGGCCTGGGTGAGTCTATTTTGAAGAAGTGGCATTAGAAGAAGTTTAAATTTAAAAAATGTGGCTCTCAGAAAGAAATTTCAATCGTTGTACTGTTGATATTGGGCTCTGTTGACTAATGAGTTTGCCGACCACTATACATTCTAGTTAGGGGCAGAGGTTGTTCAGACAGGCTTAGAAAGGAAGTTCTCCACCACCCACCGCCCACCCTACAAAATCTCTCCTGAGCCATGGTCCTGGCTGCCTTCTTACTGTCCATAGCCCTCAGAGACTTCTTAAAGAGCAGATCTTCTTTGGCCATTGGTCTGGGGCCTCTTCGTTCTCCATGCCTCATGCTCCCCCTGAAGTGGTAACTTTAATCTACAGGTTCCATCTCCCTAATATGACCACTTTTAAACCTCTCTGTCCAACCAGTTTTCTCCCAGAGATCCTTGTTTGTTTGTTCATTTATGTGGTCTGTTTCCACCCACTGGACTGTGAGCTAATCAAGGGTAGGGAGCAAGTCTTCTCCATCTCAACACTTAGCCCAGGGCCTGGCATGGAAGAGGTACCAGGAGGGTCAGCTGCGTGAATGAATGAAAGACATTCCTGCATTCTTCCTTGTGCTAAGCTGGGGCTCGTCCACTCATCTCCTTGGGTCCTGAGGTCCATGACAGCAAGTCAGCACAGCGCCCTTCCCTTCCCTGGGGCGCCCCTGAGCCTGTGAGAAGAGGCCCTCACAGCAGCTCTGGCCCTGTCTTCCCCAGCCTTTGTGCTTCTGATTGGAGGCTTCGAAGTCGGCCTGTCCCACTTCCCCTTCTTTGCCTGCCTCTCATCGGAGTTCCGGCTGGTCAGCTCCATCCTGGGCTTCCTCTACTCTCTGACCTGGTAAGACAGACTCTGCCTGCCTGCCCTCCCACAATTCCTTAGGCCGTTGCTGAACACTGGACCCAGGGCTGGCGGTGACCTCAGAGCTCTCGTTGGGAGGGCACCTTTGCTCAGAACTTAGGCCCAGGGCAGGTGGAATGACTGGCCCACAGTCCCACTGTCAGCATTCTGCTGCTTCGGAAGCGGCCATTCATGATTCACAAACTCCCAGTACGCAGAAATGTAGAAAAATTCATTTCCATAAACTGCCGAGGGTCCCCCTGGTGGCAACAGGAGTCTCCTGTGGATGCGGCTTCCCTGTGCTGTGGCTTCCCTGGAGAAAGTGCATGTGCCTCAGTCTCTCCCCTGTCTCTCCCCACCCCCACACCCCCACCCCAACCAGTCTCTGGCATGTGTGCAGGTTATATAGAACGCCTGCATTCCTCCATCCTTCCTCTTAGTCAGCCAACTTGAAGAGCCAGGGAACATTCTAGAAAACAAGACAAGCCCCTCGTGATCACATGTTCTGGCTGCTTTGGCTACGTGTTTCTCTTCCCCGTGAGGATTATCGTCCCCCACCCGGCCCCCTGAGGGGCATGTGCTCGTCCTTTGTGGACTGTCGCCTCCACAGCGGGAGCTTCCTGACCCGTCTGTCAGCTCTGTGCCCTCAGCACCAGCCCAGCACAGACCTGGCCCCAGGGAATGTTTGCTCACTGAATCCCATGGGCAGTTCTGCTCTCTAGTCCCGATAGGCTCATTTCCTCGTCCACAGCTCCTTTACGGGGCCTGCCTCCCTCTTAGCATTTTGAGGGCAGGGGTTCCAGGCCCAGTGTGTTAGGCATGCAGGGGGCTGACAAGTAACTGGCAGGCCAGTGGCTGCAATTTCAGAGTGTGTAAGTGGCTTGCTTTTTAAAAAATTACAAGACAAGCCCTAGCTGGTTTGGCTCAGTGTATAGAGTGTCAGCCTGTGGACCGAAAGGCCCCAGGTTTGATTCCAGACAAGGGCACATGCTCAGGTTTCGGGCTCAATCCCCTGTGGGAGGCGTGCAGGAGGAAGCCAATCAGTGATTCTCTCATCATTAATGTTCCTGTCTCTCTCACTCCCTCTCTTTTCCTCTCTGAAATAAATTTAATTTTTTTTTTTAATTACAAGACAGGATATTCAGTGTTAAATGAGGAGTAGCGTCTTAGCCTATGACAGACTCTTGGACCAGGAGAGGACTGGGTGGCAGTGGTCACCCAGCAGCTTGGACACCATGGGAGTAAGACCCGAGCTTGAACAGGACCAGGAATGTGTGTTCCGCAGGAGCAAAGCTTTGAGGCTCGTTCCTCAGGGCCGTGTTTACAGGCAGACAGAGCCTCAGCCCTGGGTCCTGGCTCCGGCTCTGGTGTGACTCTGTACAAATCCCTTCCCATCTCTGGGCTTCCGTGTCCCCACCGGAGTGAAGGGGAGGCAGGGGAGATCGCTCAGGGTCTTCCTGCTCTGCCACTGTGGGTTCTGGGATTGTGTCCGAATTGAGGGCATTAGATGGATTTTGTTGCATGTTCTCAGGCACAAGCAGGGTGCCTGATCTGGGTAGGGCAGACACGTAGGCCTGGAACCCAGCCTTGTCAGGGAGGTAACTCCAGGCTGGGGGATCTGGGCTGTTGTCACAGGGGCTATGCTGGCAGTACCCCAAGTCCTGCTTCTCTCCTGCAGGTTTGTTGTCACCATTCTTCACATCACACAGTGTCCCCATGGGCAGGTGAGTCCCACTGAACTCTGTTCAGGGTATTCATTCCTGTCACCATGGCCAACTTCCTGTGTGACTTTGAACAAGCTTCTGTCATTCTCTGAGCCTCCAATTTCTCCTGTGTACAAAAGGGAGTTGGAACCATTCATGATGCTTCCATTGTATAGTATCTTACGTTCATCAAGGTACTGCTTCAGAGACAGAGTCTCTCAGTTAATGCCTACAGCAGCCCCTCAAGGTGGGGAAGCTCTCAACAAACCTGATTTATAGGTGAGGAGTCTGAGGTCCTGTTTTATAGGCGAGGAGTCTGAGGGACATAGAGTAACTCTTAAGAAGCAGCAGATCTGGGCATTGAGACCAGGAATGGCTGAATCTGGGCTAGTTTCTTTACTCCTTCATGCAGCCTCAGTTTTTCTGTCTATTAATGGGAGACTGATTCAAACTGTTCATCTGTTTAGCCCCATACCCCAGGAAAAAGTGCAAGGTGTCTCTCTCTCTCTCTCTCTCTCTCTCTCTCTCTCTCTCTCTCTCTCTCTCTTTCTCTCTCTCTCTCTCTCTCCCCTCCCCTCTTACTTTCCCTCTTCTTCTCTTATATTTTCCAAAAGGAGCATTTCACACCTCATCTGAACAAACCCCTTTGTATAAAGTAAAATGGGGGTGTTGGACTCATATCCAGGGCTACAGACTCCAAGTCCACTGCTCATTCCAATGACGTGGGGCTGGGGGAGCTGGCATCCAAGCTTTGAGAGTGGGCTTTGGAGGGAGCAGGCTGGGGCAGGCAGGTTCCTGTCCACAGCTTCACCAGCGGCCTGGCCCTGCCCCATCTCGATCCAGTGACCAGTGGTCTGCTTCGTTGCAGTTTTTGGGGAGGTATGAGACTGTCATATTCTACTGGCCCTCGCTGCTGTGCCTGTCCTTCCTGCTGGGCCGATTCCTGTACATGTTCGTCAAGTCTCTGAGGATCTACCTCGGCTGGGAGCTGCAGACGGTGAGTACTATAATAAGTATAAGCACTGCACGCATCCTGACAGGTTTGGTCTTCACAACAGTCCATGCGGGAGGTCCTATTATTCCTCTCACTATTCTGTAGCAGGCAACTTGGACCCAAAGAAGTACTTTGTGTTGCCCAGGATCACATATCTAGTCTGTGGCAGAGCCAGGAAAAGAACCCAGTTTGGTTGTTGAGACTTTTTCTTAACCACTGTTCTTTTTCTGATTCCTGAAGGCCGTGGTCGGCAAACTGCGGCTCACGAGCCACATTCAGCTCTTTGGCCCCTTGAGTGTGGCTCTTCCACAAAATACCACTGCCTGGGTGAGTCTCTTGAAGAAGTGGTATTAAAATAAGTTTAAGTTTTAAAAATCTGGCTCTCAAAAGAAATTTCAATTGTTGTACTGTTGATGTTTGGCTCTGCCGACCACTGCCTTAAGGTATAAAGTTAGGCTGTTTATTTGAGACCTTTCTTTTTCTTCATGTAGACATTTACCACTATAAACTTCCCTCTTATAACTGCTTTGGCTGCACCCCATAAGTTGTGGTCTGTTGTAGTTCCATTTTCATTTATTTTTAAGATATTTTTTTATTTCCCTTTTTGATTTTTTCTTTGGTCAGGAATCTATTATTTAACTTCTATATATTTGTGAGTTTTCCAGTTTTCTTTCTGTTACTGATGTCTCACTTTATGTCATTGTGGTCAGAAAAGTTACTTGATACTTAAACTTGTTAAGGCTTGTTTTGTGGCCTAACCTGGAGAATGGCCCTGTGCTCTTGAGAAGAATATACTGTCTGCTGCTATTGGACAGAATGTTCTATATGGGTTTATTTGGTCTATTTGATGTATAGTGCTGTTCAAGTAAGCTGTTTTCTTATTGATTTTCTTTCTGGGTTATCAATTGTTGAAAGTGGGGTGTTGAGTTTCCTACTATTATTAAGTTGCTGTATATTTATCGGCTTAGTTTTATTAATAATTACTTTATATACTTAGGTGCTGTGATGTTGGATGCATATATCTTTACAATTGTTATATTCTCTTGAGGAATTGACCCCTTTATCATTATATAATGATTATTTTGTCTCTTATAACAGTTTTGACTAAAGTCTGTTTCGTCTCAGATAAATATAGCCACCTCTGCCCTGTTTTGATTACCACATGTATGAAATATCTTCTTTCCATCCCTTACTCTCAGCCCATGTATGTCCTTAAAGCTAAAGTGAGTCCCCTATAGGTAGCATATATTTGTGTGAGGTGGTGGTGTATTTTTGTGTTTTGGGGTGTTTTTTTTTAGTTCAATTAGCCACTCTATGTCTTTTGACTTGGAGAATTGAATCCATTTAGAGTTAAAGAAATTGGTAGGTAAAAACTTAAAATTGTCATTTTGTTAGTTTTGTAATTCTTCTCTTCTTTTATTTATTTATTTATTTATTTATTTATTTATTTATTTTTACATATTTTATTGATTTTATTTTTTTTGCCCCCCCTCCCTCCCTCTACATATCCCCACCCTCCCCAGAGTTTTATGTCCATTGGTTGTACTTATATGCATGTATACAAGTCCTTCGGTTGATCTATTATCTCCCCCAGGTCCTCCTCCCCTCCCTGCTGTAATTCGACAATTTGCTTGTTGCTTTACTGTCTCTATATCTATCTTTTGGTTCATCAGTTTATAATGATCTTTATTATCCACAAATGAGTGGGATCATGTGGTGTTTCTCTTTCATTGATTGGCTTATTTCACTCAGCATGATGTTCTCCAATTCCATCCAGGTTGCTGCAAATGATGAGTGTAATTCTTCTCTTCTTGCTTTTTTGGTGATGTGATATGTGTGGGTTTTTTTTATTGTGGCATGCTTTGATTCCTTTTTCTTTATCATTTGTTTGTATAAAACAGGTTTTTCTTTGTGATTATATTCGGCTTATATAAAACATCTTACAATTATAACAGTTTATTTTAAGTTGATAACAACTTACTTTAATTGCATAGAAAAGCTCTACACCTTTACTCTTTCCCTCATGGGAGAATTTGCAGGCCAAGGTGAGGGTCTCTCTATGCACTGAGCTGTGTACCACCTTGAGGAGGGTGATATTGGTGAAGTGAAAATGTTCTTCTTACCTCCTCAATGCATCTCTTCTCAGAGTTTTTGCTTGACTGGAGTTCTGGAACCTCCCAGGTGCACTCATGGGCTTCTACAGAATTACTCAAATTTGTGGGTATTTGTTAAAATAGGTGTATCAGAGTGGCCTGAGGGCTGGAACCCCCTATTCCTCCATCTCATTGATGTCACCCACCAGTCAGAATTCTAATTAGATCCTTTGTACTCTACCTAATATCTGCAATATTTAAGATTTCATCTCATAGCATGTAAAATCTACATATTCAACATATATAGAATAGATGAGTACTGTGAAAAGCTAATTACACTTAGAGGAAAATATTATTATTACTATTATTATTACTATTATTATTGATTTCAGAGAGGAAGGGAGATCAAAATTTTGATGATGAGAGAGAATCATTGATTGGCTGCCTCCTGCAGGCCCCCACTGGGATCAAGCCCATAACCGGGGCTGTGCTCTGACTGGGAATCAAAGTGTGACTTCCTGGCTCATAGGTGACTTTCAACCACTGAGCCACACCGGACAGGCAGAGAAAACATTTTAAAACATATCAGTAAAGCCCTATCCTGTTTGGCTCAGAGGATAGAATGTCAGCCTGCAGACTCAAGGGTCCCAGGTTCGATTCTAGTCAAGGGCATGTATTATACCTTGGTTGCGGGCACATCCCCAGTGGGGAATGTGCAGGAGGCAGCTGATTGATGTTTCTCTCTCACCGATGTTTCTAACTCTCTATCCCTCTCCCTTTCTCTCTGTAAAAAAAAAAAAAATTAATAAAATATTTAAAAAAATAAAACATATCAGTAAAGTTTTTTTTAATAAGTAAAAACAATGGCATTTTAAACAGTAAAAACAATGGCATTTTAAACAGTGTTTTGAACTATGATGGGAAATCACCAAATCTCAGAGAGAAGAAAGACTTCCCAGAACAGTGACTGGTGCAGTCCGTAAGCAGAGGAGTCAAGGAAGCCAGGCCGCTGGCACTTCATGAAATCAAGTGCCTGGTAAACAGGAGACGGGACCCTGCTCTTCGCTTCATTAAGTGACAGGAGTCTGGGAATGGCTGAATCCAGAAGAGCAAGTGTTACCCAAATCCCCACCCTCTGTGGTGATAGCCCCTCAGAGAGCCCAGCACTCTAACACGAATTTGCGAGTTAAAGCATATTCCTCTCTCTTTTCTCACAGGAAGAAAAGCCTTTCCTGGAAATTCATCAGGCAGAGCACGTCAAGCAGCTCCTGCGGAAGCCCCCCCTGCAGTAAGCCACGGTTTGATTCGTTCACCAGTGGTGTTCCCACCAACAGTGGGGGGCGGTTGGGGACGCAATTGGGGCTAAATCTCTAGTAGAGGGCATGCAGTAGGCAGCCAATCAGTGATTGTCTCTCATCATTGATGTTTCTCTCTCTCTCTTCCTCTCTGAAATCAATTAAAAATATATATATTTAAAAGAATTCTGGAGGCTACAATCCATATTGACTCTGGACTGCTCACCATGACACCAAGATCATCCGTTTTTCTGCTTCAGTATTTTAGAGATTTCATTATAAAGGCTGTCCATGGTCCAGGATAGATTCCAGGGCTCCAATCTGGATCAGCTACTATGTCAGCATTTCAGATAGCAGGCAGGAGAAAAGAAGGAAGGGCTATGGGGCCCCTTCTGCAGTGTTGATTCTATCTAACCACCCTCCCCAAAGTCCCTCACTAATTGCCCTGTAGTTAGTCTTGGTCACTCTTATCGATAAGAGAGGCCAGAAACGCTAGCCTTTCAGTTTGGTGAATTGCTGCACCAGGCAGAACCCAGTCTCTGTTCTTAAGAATAAGGGGAGAATAGGAACTACCAGTGTTTTTGCTCTTCACTGAAATCTAAGATGAAGAGGGGTAACGAGATTATTTTTAGAAGAATTAGGCATTTGTTTACCAACCACAACCTGTCTTTTCTTGGTGTTTACTCATTAACAGAGAGAAAAAAAAGTCTTGGTTTCAGAGCAGGATATACGAGTGGGACCCCTGCTTTCAGTTCCCAAGCAGAATGATCGGAACCACTGTGTTGGCTTTTATCTGCCTGTATCTCGTAAGTTGATCCGAGCAAATTCTTTTCTTTGTAAATGGGGCGGGCTGGAGAGGAGTTGTTCTTAAAAAGCTGGCTCAAAATTCCATCTCTGTAGATTAAACAATTTTGACTCCAAGGACACTTTTACCCTTGTGGTAAATATTACTAATAAATATAGTCAGATTGTTTATGGAAACTTCAATAGCCAATTCTACATGTAAAGAGCTTGTGAAATGCCATTCCATCCTAACAACAAATAAAAATCTAAATAAACTGGAAAAAAAAATCAACAACTCTTCTTAGATCCACAGGAGAAGTGGGATTATGGGGCAAATCATTGCCCCTAAATTGAAGAGACAGGCAGGTACATATAGAGAATCACAACAGAATGGATCAGAAACCCCACAGGAATCAGTGCTGAGGAAGGAAAATCTGAACTGTAATTGACACCAACAATCAATTGGAATTTTGGACATTCATCAACTACTTAATCTACAATAGTAGAATACACATTTTCTTAAGACTACATGGAAAATTCACCAAGATAGAAGAAATTTTGGACCATAAAACACATCTTAACAAATGTAAAAGAATGTAAATTACACAATCTTAACAAATGTAAAAGGATATTTAATTCCACCATAAAACACATCTTAACAAATGTAAAAAAATACTTAATTCTTGGATCATAAAATACATCTTAACAAATGTAAAAGAATATTTAATTCCACTGTGGTCTGCCTTCAGACCATAGTGGAATTAAACTAGAAATGAATAACAGAAAGATAACTGGAAAATCCCAAAAGAGTGGAAATTAAACAACATATTTCCAAGTAACTATGGATTAAAGAAAAAAATATCTCAAGAGAAGTAAAAATAAATTTAAAAAATGTAATGAACTAAGTGAAAACACACTTAACAAAATTTGTGGCTGGAGGGGGGGCAGCAAAAGCAGTGCTTAGAGGAAAATTTATAACATTGAATGTATATATTAGAAATGAACAAAGATCTACATCCATCTCTAAGCTCCTACCTTAGGAATCTAAAAAGGAAGAGCAAATTAAATACAAAATATGCTGAATAGATATAATAAAAATTAGAGTAGAAACCTATGAAATTAAAAAAAAGGAAATTAATAAAGAAAATCAATGAAATCAAAAGCTAGGACTTTGAAACAGTAAAATTAACAAGCCTCTAGCCAGACACAAAAACGGAGAGAGGACACGTTAGAAATGGAAGAGGGAACATCATTACAGACTCCATGGGCATTAAAAGAATAATAAAGGAGTAGTATGAGCAATTGTGTGCCCCCAAATTTGATAACCTAAGTGAAATGGACTAGTTCCTTGAAAGATACAATCTGCCATAACTTACACAAGAAGAAGTGGATGATCTGAATAGGCCTAAAGTTATTAAAAGACATTGAGTCAGTGAGTAATGGTCTTTAAAACAGAAAGCACCATGCCCAGATGGGCTCACTAGTGAGTTCTATGAGACATTTTTTTCAGCAGAGTTTAGAAAACCAGCTTCATTGAGGTCTTTTATGCTACACTTGCTACTTAAAAATCTTTTCATTTAAATATAAAATAATTGACAAATAATCTCAGTGAATTAAAAATAAAAGTGGATAAGCTTGATGTGCTATATTTTTTTAAAGGGCCCAAAATTGAAATGTCTTATTTCATTTTGCTATTATTTAACTTTGCTTTCTCAACAAAAAATTTTAAATGTCATAATACAGACTTCAATACTATCCTGTATACATACGTACACACACTTTTTTGTTGTTAATTCTCACCTGAGGATATTTTTCCCCGTTGATTTATTTTATTTTATTTTATTTTATTTTATTTTATTTTATTTTATTTTATTTTATTTTTGAGAGAGAGAGAGAGGAAGGGAACGGGAGAGAGAAAGAAATATCAATGAAGAGAGATACATTGATTGGTTGACTCCCACCTGTACTCCTACTGGGACCAGGGATTGAACCTGCAATCCAGCTATATGCTCTTGACCAGGAATTGAACCCTTTGGTCCACGGTCCAACACTTTAATGACTGAGCCAAACTGGTTAGGGCTCAATAAATTTTTTATTAAGCACAGAATCAAAACATTCCATGTGGTCAAAGTTATTCAGGGTAAATTGGGTCAAAAGCCGGGTCAAAGTGGAGTGGCAAAAATGGCAGGGTGGCATGATGAGAGAGCATGGTGGTGTGATGAGGGAGCAGGGTGGCATGAGGGAGCAGGGTGGCATGAGGGAGCAGGGTGGCATGATGAGGGAGCAGGGTGGCATGATGAGGGAGCAGGGTGGCATGATGAGGGAGCAGGGTGGCATGATGAGGGAGCAGGGTGGTATGATGACAGGATGATAGGGGTGAGCAACATGGCATGTGTATAGGAAACAGTACCTTCTTCACTTCAGTTATCACAAAGATGCAAGAAGGGGAGCAATGAAATATGACTGGAATTGTCCCTAAGGTCACCCCTTACTCCACATTAGGCATTTATCTCGCTCTGGTTTAATTCAAATTTGAAGAGTTCTTTTAAGCCCTGTGGGACCTTGTCTCCTACGCTGAAAGGTGAAACACAGAGTTTACGGTGTCTCCCGTCTAACAAGGAAGCCACAATCCCATTCATCTCAGAGCCAGTGTCCAGAGTCTATTTCAGATGAGTGAAATTCAAAGAGTTTTGACCTCAAAACCAAAGAGAGACCCATCATTATTCACATACTGGGCAAAAGCTGGAGTGGAGTGAGACCTTGAAGCATTTGCTCTGTGTCCCCAGTTCATTGTCATTGAGTTCTGCGTGTTCGTGTATGTGAGAGATGCGCTGGATGTGTTTGAAGGCGAGTTAGAGAGCTACATTGCCTCCGTGAACCAGACTGGGACCCTGACCCCAGTCATCCTGCAGGTGAAGGAGCTGATAAAAATCTCCAAAGGTAAAGCCAGCCTTGCACAAGGTTGCCCTTTAACTGGAGGTGGGTCGCCCTCTCCCCTCAGCATCCCCCAAAAGTGGCAATTAGAAGTTCAATGAAGTTTTATTAGCATGGAAGCTCCTTCAAATGTATATATGCCATAATTTTCTCTTCCCACTATTCATGGGATTGAGAATATGAATACCAAAGGAGAGGATTGTGCAGGAAATAAAGTGTTTCAAGGGTATGTGTGGCTAAAAATGAAACAGAAATATATAAGCACAATTGTATGTACACAAGAAATGTGTTAAAGGAAGTATATTTACCCAGACCTTTCTGATGTGAGTTTCTGCATTTTGAAAATGAAAAGCACATGAACTGTTTCTGGTTCATCTTCAGAGGGCTCTCCTATCATCTTTTCTGTTTCAGGAGTCTGGGTGGTTACCATTTTGCCTGCCTCCCTCACGTGTGTGAGCTATCTGTTCCACATTTTGGCTTGTTACAGGTAAGAGGGCTCAGGTGTCATTTGTGTGTCTCCAGCCAGGAAAGCATCTGATAGAATTTTCTAAGCAGTGCCAACAGTGACCAGGAGTGGAACCAGGAGTGTGTGCAAGGTCCAGGGACAACCACATCTATTGTTAGTAAAAACACAAACCAAAACTATTGACTTGAGCTTCTATTGTGATTTGGACATTGTGCTAGAATCTTCAGTTTCACCACAGCCCTGAGGGGTGCTTTCATCTCCATGTTTATAGCTGAGAAAGCTGAGACTCAACAAAATATCTTACCCAAGCAAGCAATGGCTGATCCTGCCTTCCGACCCCAGACCTTGATATTTCATGTACACTTTGGAAACTCTCTTGGGTGTCCGACCTGTCCTGCTCTCCAGGACTCATTGCACTGGGCTACCAACAGATGAATGTGGCTAAAAAAGACATCAGGGGAAACTGAGTCAAGGAGCCAGGGACCAAGGACCGCCATCAGTGCAGGAGGAGGAAATGGCCTTCAGTACTAGCTAGGCACTTGCATGCAGATGGCAGTTGAATGCAGATAGTTCCAGCCTCTCTGTTTCTCTGCCTCTGTCTTTTCCTCTCTCTGTCTCTCTTTCTGTCTCAATTTCTAACTCATACTCAAAGGAAGCTCAAGGCCAATCTCCCCACCACCACCTCTGAATATTCTGCCTTTGCAACCTCACCATCTGCTGCCCGCAGGGTGAGTCCCTTGCCAACGGCATCCAAAAGAAAGACTCTCCAGGCACGAAGAAGCCACAGTTTCACTTTCTTTTTCCTAGGCCCTGTGGGCGGACTGGACACTGATGTTGTCCTCTGTCCCGTCTGTGAGGGGACATGTCTGTTCCTTCCATGCTCAGCCTTCAAGTGGTTGGCACATTTTCACTGAGGCATTTGGTCCCGACCAGGGACAACTGCTGTGCAGAGCAGGCTGCATGGACATGGGCCGAGGGCAACTGAGGGCCCAGGGAAGAGAAGTCTGTGTGCCGGGAAGGCCTCGTTCCTGCCCCGGCTGGCGCCCCCTCCCTTACTGTCACCCAGGAGTGCTGATCCCTGCCCTGCTTCCATCGTAGGTGATGGAGCAGAGGGAATAATGGATGAGAAAGCATCCTACAGCCTGGGAAGCGTTGTGCCAGTTTTTTTTTTCTTCTTAGAATTATTCCAATTTACAAGCTATTAAAAAAAAAAAATTCAGTGTAAACTAACTCTTCCATTCAGACCTCAATTTATTGCCCCTGAGCTAAACATGGTTTGTATTCCTGGTTGCACACTCTGCTCCAGTGCTGCCAGACAGAAACACAGGTGCCATCTTTAATTTTCTAGTAGACACTATTAAGAAAGCACAAAGAAAGGTGAAAATGATTTAACGAAGCGCTTACCCTAACATAACCCAAACACCATCACGTCCCCATGTAATACATGTACAAACTATTAATGAGATGTTTACACTCTCTATTTCATACCAAGTTTTCCCAATCCAGTGGTCACGAAAGGACAAAACCACCTGGGAAATGCTGGAGATAGAATGTTAGGGAAAAAGCAGGACCCAGATGTGAATTTGGACCTTGAACTTGACTCTGACAATCTAATCTTTATGCAAAGGTCCCGGCCCGAGACTAGCATCTGGGAAAACATGCGGTGATTTCTTGGGGTGGTGGTCCCCTTTTTGTTTCCCTTTATGTTGTTATAAGTTGGGAGTATCATTAAAAATGGCCTCCTGTTTTTATCTGGCTTAAAGTATTATTACATAAATGATTTATAGTCACTATAGAAAAAATACAAAAAACAGAGCAAAATGAAGAAAATAAAAGCCTTATACACAGTTTCAAATATCGTCATGAAGACTAGGTAACTGTATATTATTTTAATAAAATGTATTAAACTTAAGATTGTTAAGGCTAATCAGAACCATCGCATGAACTATGGTCAATAGTAGGGGCTAAGCTGCCCACCATCTCCCTCCACAGGCCCTTCTGTTTGTACCTGTTGAGCTCTACCTGCATGAGGAGTTGTGGTTATGAACATTACTAATTTCCCGCCTTTTCTCTAGAAAGCACGTGAAGAGGCTGTGGGCAGGAAACAAACACTTTCTCCCTCTGAAGTTCCATAGCCCTTCCTCCTCAGGGAGCGTGGTGAGTCTGTGGAGACCTGCCTCCTGCACCTCGGACAGGGCAGCGTGGTGAGGGGGGGCCCTGGGTGGCGGTCAGAGACCTCTGTTCCGGGATGCTCTGCTGCTGGGTGATGGAACAGTGGTTCCCATCACGGGGTTCCTCAGCTGTGAAATGAGGACAGTCAACTGTCTCGGTGGGTTGGTGGATGAATCTCCAGTGAAACAGGGATGTGTCCAAGGTGATCAAGGTTTTCTCTCCTCTGGGACCCTATTTCTTTTTAAATCTCAGGCGGCCATTGCAAGGTACTCTGGCTGGCAAATAGCCTACATTTTGTGGGGTAAGTGCCATCATGTGACCCATTCAATTCAACACACATTACCTGGGCACCTGCAGAGCCTGGAGGGTGGGTAGGGAGGAGAGAGGTGAGGGCAGATGCAGCCCAGCTCCTGCCTTTGAGGGGCCTTCGGGAAGGAGGGAGAATCTCAGTCATATGGATCATCATCCCCACCTGTCCTGACCCACAGGCTGTGTATGCCAAAGGCGGGGGTCATCCAGGGGAGGAGGTGACTCCTCACCCTGGGCAGGGCTTGAGTGCATCCCAATGGAGTTGACATTTGAACCACACCTGGCAGGGTAAGCAGAAGGTCAAAAGGAAGAAACATGAGGGCATGCCAGGCAGAAGAAATAGCACCAACAAATGTGCCAATACCTTTGGTGGCAGGAGGATGGATCAGGGCTGCGGACGGGGACACAGGTGACTGGGTCACGAAGGGTCTTGGGTGACCACCGGCTCCCTCGGTCCACAGGCTACCTCGTTATCCACGTGGTGCAGAGCCTGTGTGGCCTGGTGATCATGTACAGCCTGGTGCTGCCCGTCATCCACAACCAGGGCCTGGAGGTGCTCCGAGGACTGGGCATCGGGATGTAAGTGCTCGGGGGGCTTCCTGGCATTGCCCAAGCCTGGGAGCTGGTGAGCCCTCGCAACTGCTGTTCAAAATGCCCCTCTCCTGCTGAGCTCCCACCACTCCCTGGGACTTCACGCTCAGGTCTGATCGAAACATGGGCCAAAAGAGCAACACACCGCAATAGGAACCTTACAATTTACAAAATACTGCCACTCTCGTTGTTCACCGGGGTCCGTCCAGTGGCGTCTGTGGCAGATACGCCTATGTCCATTCTGTAGCTGGGGGGATTCAGAGGTGAGGAGGTGACGTGAGAGAGAGGACAGTGCAGTGGAAGGAGAGAGGGAATCTGTGCTTGGGTCTTAAATCAGCTACATGACTTGGGAAAGAGGCCTCTCTGAGCCTCCGTTTCCCCAACGGAAGATAAAAGTGAATCCTGACATTGAGAATTCACGCTGTGCTTTTTCTCCTAAGAACTCTTTGAGGTTGGGCCTTATTTAGCTCCCTCTTTTTTCAGATGAGGAAACAGAGGTACAAAGATGTGAAGCAACTTGTCCACTGACAGGGAAGAGGCAAGCCTGGGAGCCTGGCGATCTTAAACCAAAGCCTCGTTTAGCCCCAGCCTCACACTGCTGCTCTGGGGGTGCAAACACAGGCTGTCTGGTGCTCCCTGGAGACCCCCTGCTTGGAGCTCCTTGCCTCCATACTCACCTGGAGATGCCCAGGAGTCTGGGTCAGAGCCTGCCCTGTCCACTCACATGGCCTTCATGAGCCCCATTCCTTTCCTTGATTCCCATGCTCTTAACACACTCATCCCAGTCGCCATGCCTGGGTCCTGAAGGTCTGGTCTAGAGCTAGAATTATGACAGTGTGGCTTTGAGAAAGTTCTCGCCCCTTTGGGAGCCTCAGTTTTCTCACTGCAGAATGGACGTGGAATCTCTGCAGGCATAAAGCACAGAGCTCATTGCTACTGCTGGTCTGGCGGGCTCGTGGCACCTCACTGGGCACTTACCACTGGGCATTTGAGAAGGGTGGAGAAGCGTGGACAAGGCCACCTCCGGATGGTCTCACCCTGTGTTTCAGCCTCACCATATCCATCGTCCTGGGCCTCATGATCCTGCAGGTATGCATTGCTGGCAGCTTCTTCCTGCAACCCAAGATGAGCACAGTTGACAAGCAGAAGCCCTTGGCACTCAACAACAGGTGAGGGCAAGGAAGGGAATGGTGGTTATAGGACTTTGGTCTCGGCGATCTCTTATTCCTCCCTCCTCACCGCTGGCAGGTTTGTGGGCAAACTCGACACTTGCTCATAGCGTGAAGAGCTGTGGTCGAGGAGCAGACTCTGGAGCCAAACTCTTTGGTTCCAAATCTCGGCTCCATCCCTTATGAGCTGTGTGACCTTGTTAACCATCCATGAATATCAATAATTCTGCATTGGTGAGGATGAAATAATGTGTTCAAATATGAGCTAGAACAATAGTGCTGGCCAGTGGTAATCCTTTCTCATTTATTTATTCAAGGCCATTCACGATGTAGGAAATGGCATGGGCACTGAGCATAAAGAGAAAGCCTCACAGGACCTGTCTGTGAGAAGCTCAGGGTCCACTGGGCAGTAGACTCCAGACAGAGGGCATGAAGGATCACAAGAGAAACAGGAGTAATGAGGACAGGCACAGAGGTGGAGGAGAGGCAGCGTGGTGGTTAATTCCACTGTAGGGGGGACGTTGGAGCTGAGGTTGATAGGATGGTGGGACGCCTACAGGTAGAGCTGAGGAGAGGGCATGGCTGGCATCGCCCACTGCACAAGGAAGGCAGGAAGCCATGGAAGGGCAGGATGTGTCAGGAGAACAGGAAGAATCAAACGTGCTGGCCATGCAGTGGCCCTGGGTGGTGAGGGGAGGGAGGGGGCTCAATGTGCCAATGCGAGAGAGGCCCGTTTCGAGGACGGCCCCGAAATTCAGTATGCAAAGTTTGCACTTATCCCACAGGCAGCAGAAGACCCCATGGTCAAATGGTCATTTGGGAAATTTTATCTGGAGAACTCGGAGCAGTCCCAGCTGGGGGCAGGTCGCTGTTACAACAAACAATAGGAAAGCCACAGCCTCTGTGTAACCACACAACCAGCTGCGGCCACAAGAGGTTTCTCATTGTTCAGGAAACCTCAGAACCCAAAGATCCCATCAGACACTGCAGCCGCAACTAGCATTCGTCCTGCCCTGTGCTCAGAGCCCTCTACGGTACAGCTGAGCCAGTGCTGGGCGGTGCAGACAGTCAGCTTGGACAGTCAGCTCACACGTACAGCACAAGGTCACGCAGCTCGCAGCCAGGAAATGTAGGAATCGGCCAATGGGCTGGGGCCCCTGAGCCCGCCTGCCTGGCCAGCTTCTCACGCTAAAACAGTGCCGCCCCTCCGCCTGCTTCCATTCGCAGGAAAATGTTCCACAACTTCAGCTACTTCCTGTTCTTCTACAACGTGCTGCTGGGCCTGGGCGCCTGCCTCTCCAGGCTTCTCATCAGCTGCATCCTGGGCACGTGGCTGATCGCCCGCATCGACAGGACCATCATGCAGAAGGGCTACGAGGGAGCGGACATGGGTAAGTGGCCAGCTCCACCTCGCACCCTCACCCCCAGACCCCACAGCCACCTGTCGGGGAAGGGCTGGACTCGTACCTTTGTAGAAGCCACCCAGGGTTCATGCCTCACTTCTGCTCAGAGCGTATCGTCCCAGGGAGGCTATAAAGCTGAGCAGAAAAACAAAAACAAAAAACCAAAACATTCAGCCCAATGGGGAGAAGGGATGCAGGCTATCGAGTATCTGCACAGCGGACACAGCTTTGAGGTATAAGGGCAGGCAGTAGGGGGTAGCACAATTCTCTCTAAATGGTTAGGAGGCCAGTTGTGACTGCACGGCTCTGAACATTTTGAGAAAGGGCCCATCCCAGAATTACTGGTGGTGCTATTTGGAAACTTACTCAGATAAGAATTTGGTCTGTCCGGTTGAAATACTCCAAAACCATTTCTGTAGAGCAAAAAACAGTTTTGTTCTCTTTCTGGCCCGTGTCTGTTCATTAAAGGAGCCCAAGCTCCTCTGAGCCTCAAGTCCCACGTTAAATGGACGGATTAGAATGTGATCTGTAAGGGCCCTTTCGGCTCTTCATGCCCAGTTTTCTATATTCACAGCAAAGACACAGGCACCATTTAGGAGAACAGTGATGCTGCAGTTATGTTATAAAAAGCACCCACCGGGCCACCCTGAGATGCACCCCAGGGCCTGACCTGCCTTCTGGGTTTCAGGGTTCAGGGCATGGGTTGGCATGCTCTACGTGGACCATTATCACACCCACCCCGTGCTCGTCAGCTTCTGCCACATCCTGCTCAGAGGCCTGAGGGAGAGGCAGCTGCAGCAGGCCCTCAGCTGTGGGCACCTGTATCAGCCAGCAGGTGAGTCTCCTGTGTGAGCCTTCCCTGTGCTTGGACACCAGGAAGCAAGTGCCTAAGGGTTTTCTGGGGTCCCTGAGATGCCTCAGCTTCCCCTTCCTGCCTCCACACTCCATGCCCCGGGACATCCACTCAGGAAGTCAGGAGGGTTACCCCTAGTCAGCCTGGCTATGGAACCCCTGAGGCCTTATGTCCTTGTCCTTCTAGCTGGCTGCTCCCTGTTCTGCTGAGCTCCGCCCCCCCCCCCCCCCGCAATTTGTTTGGGACCCCATACATATCCCAGCCTTCAGCCAGATGCCCTCCAAGAGGGCATTTAGCCACCAACTCCTGCCCCTCAAGACTCTATACTGTCTACTCCCACCTCTTCCACCTTATTTATTCCTCTGCTCTGCCTTCTGCTGGGAAGCCCTAGGCAATCTTGTCTTATCGGCACCGACCTGAACTGTGCTCATCACTGTTCCTAGCCCTGCGCTTACCCAGTCTGTGAGATAAATACGTCCTTCTGCTCACCCTCATGTCCCCTCACGCCTGCTCCAGCTCCTTCCTCCCCTTGTATCCCACCCCTCACACCTCCCAGGCAGCTTTTCTTACAGCCTCTGAGAAGCACAGAGACAGCTCCCCCGTCCCCCGCCCCCAGTCTACCCGCTCTGATTCTATCCTAGGTCCCCGCACCTCGGCGAGGCCCAGGACAAGGTGGCGCCTGCTGCAGACCCTGATCAACAACCCCAGGCTGCTCATGCTCAGAAAGTCAAAACCAGGTCCCGGCTCCCAGGAGTTTACCCAGATCCTGCTGACGTGCTCGAAGAGCTGACGTGGCCTCCGCCACCGCTCCTCGCCACACCAGGACGACTGCGGCCGCTGCTGAGACGAGGCCCCAGCTACCCAGCAGCTACCCCAGAGCGACGGGACGCCCAGCCCCTGTCCACACAGATGGCGCATGGCATCCGGGCTGAACAGTGCAGTCTCAGGTCTCATTCACGCCTCTGGTAAAAGGATCAAGAACTAAAGAGAAACTCTGTTGAACAGACTTTGTCCAGTCATCATTTCTACTGCCCATGGTTGGGAGACGGCCTTGGGCAGTTCCATGTTGAGACGCTGTGGGATCCCTTAACACGACCCGCGTGGTTCAGGGCCCACTCAGGGTCCAGTTTCTGGAGGAGGCCGCACACTAAAATGAAGAGACTGGAAAAGAATTAATTTGGGGAAATGGGGGCCAGGCGGAAAGTCCACCTCTAGTGGGAAGACTCACCCCTGCTCTGGCCTTTTACCATTCCTTTTATTGAGATTCTGAGACAAAGATATCTCTTAGGCGGGAAATTCCAACAACAGAAAATCAACAAGAATTTACATTTACATGTGATTAACAAATTAAAGTTGCCTCAGCCACCACTATCTCAACTAGAGATGAGTTAATAGCTCCGACCATTCAGAGCCATCAAGGTTCGCCAACTCTCTCTACATTTTATTACCCGTAACAATGTTAGGTTTTGGTTCCCTCAAGACGCACTTAGTGTGACCACAGGGCAGAACTTGGTGTCAGGGAAGAAGGTGGTAACATTTCTGTATCAGGATAGTTCAACCGTCTGATCGATTTTCTCTGGGAGAAAGTACGGCCTTAATTCAACAGGTTCCTCACTGCGTCCTCCTTTCCAGGCCTTACGGTGGTGAGAGAGAAGGAAATCCGTGGTCCAGCCTCCCATCTGGTTGGGGGAGCAGGCACGCTGAGCTCTCTGCTCTCCCTGCCGGGACGGCTGGGCGTGGGTCACAAAGATGCACAAGTTCTCTCTGGCAAGGGGGGTCCCCTGGAAAGCCACCTGCCTGAGGAAGCAGAGGTGGGTGGCAGGCATTCTCGGTGGGGGACGAGAAGAGCAGACATGTGGGAGCAGGAAATGTCCAGGCGAGTCTGAGGAGGGTGAGCCTCCACGGAGGCCCAGATGCCACGCCCGAAGCCTGGACATTCCTCTCTGTGCAGAGGGCCCGGGACTTACCCAGATCCTTCACACCCGGGCGTGAGGTCTCTGGTGGCCTGGGGTCTGCACAGAGTCTGACCATTCACAGTGCAGGTGCGGGGAGGACTCCCAACAGGGGGAGGGAGGTCCCTGTCCGCCTCCCAGAGCCGCTGAGCTCCAGGATTCATTACTGAGCACCCACTGTGAACCCCGTCCTGTTGCTAGGTATTGGCCGGACTTATCTCTAATTTAATCCCACAACCGAGCTTTGCCATTCTGCTCGTAGAAACTGGGAAAACGTGCGGGCACTCGGGCTGCTGGGATCCCCACACCATCACTTCTTAGCTGTGTGGCATTTTCCTGTGCTTCCTTTCTCTCACATAGAGAAGGGCTAATACCTACAACACCCAAAATTATTTGGGGGATAAAGTAAGTTAATACAAACACTTCTAAGCTATCGCCTGATAAACACCTGTCATGTTATACTCGGTGAGGATCTGATTAACGCGCTGCTCTGTGAAGAAAGGGCCTCTGTGGCCTCCCCTGAGGTAGCTGCCTTGCAGATTACTACTGACTCCTCAGGATCTGCACCCACCAGATAGGCCTGTTGGTAGACTTGCCTCCAGAAGTCACCTTGACCATGATGGAGAGTGTGAGGGCTTTCCATGGCCAAGTACATGGACCCTTATCCGGGCAAAGCAGAGCTCATCCGTCAGGTCCCAGCTAGGTCTCAGCCACGACGTCCCTGAGAGAGAGGCGGGAGACTCTAGAGCACATGTGTCAAACACAAGGCCCGCGGGCCAAATCCGTCCCGCCAGGCCTTGCAATGTGGCCCGCACCGCGCTGTCATCACTGCACTCCGCTGCGTTTCCATCACAATGACAGTTTATGACTGTTCAGTAAACCATTCGGCCCGCGATTTAGGCTGGATTTTAGATTTTGGCCCCTTCTCTGGTTGAGTTCGACACCCCTACTCTAGAGGATTTCTAAGATGTGCAGGGAGGCCGGACATTTTAGTTCACAGGTAGCTACATGCTTATGGAATGAGGCCCTGCTGTCGTCTTACAAGGTGCATTACACATCTCTCCCCTGACTAAGAAACAAGCAGGAAAAGGAATTCAGAGATCCTGGACAAGGATGCCCGGGGATTCAAATTTAGATAAAGGCCAATCATTGGCCCTTGGGGACTCAGGGGGGAAAGTCCTGCCTGCCCTTTAGTTCATTTGCAAATTATCTTCCCCTGGCCTTGCCCCTTCCACACGCAGTGTTCAATCTTTTCACAATTCTTTCCCTACTTAGTGCTGATGCAATTCCAGAGGCGGAACTAGAAAGCCACAAGTTCCTAATATTTGGCCAGGAAAAACCTCAGCCAGAGATGAAGAACGTGTTCCCTCTTCCTTCAACTGTAGAAAAGGAGCTGCTGTCCTGGGATGGGACGTAGTCCAGGCAAGTGTTATTTTTAAAGATGCCCAAATGTCAGTGGTTGTTGCTATGCCTGCAAAGAATTTCAACCTCCGAATCCCAGGAGTTCTGAGGGGCTGTGGCTGCTCCTTGTTCACGATAATGAAATGAATGTGTTCACTGAGGAAGGAGGGGCCTGGAGGGCCTCCCTCATAGCCAGGGAAGGGGCTGGCCCTTCTCCCTTCTCTCATATACAATACGCTGATGGCCCTGCGAGATACTGTAAAGGAGGAATGTGAGAATCTGAATCTAATCTAAGTTAGCACAGGAAGCCAAAGAACTAAACCTCAGCTCTCAGCTGTGAAAGAAAGTGGGTTTTAATAATGTTGAGAACAGCACTCTGGAAAGGAATTCTGCCAGTCTGAGAAGAAAACCCTATTTCTAAACCTAGAAGGCTCCCTTACCAGGGTGCTGTTCTCAGAATGTCCACAAGAGGGCGAGATGGCAACACCTCCCAGCAAGGAGGAGAACCCTCTGGGACCGTGAATTGGGTGTTCTTTTCCCGCTGGATAGAAGAGCGGGGTTACCTTGGGAGGCACCCCCACCCCCCACCCCCCCACCCCCCCCACCCCCGGCTCCTGGCCCACCTCCACCACCCTGTCCCCACTCATTCTGACTCAGGCACTGTGCTGAGTGCTTGATCAGTCCGTACCCCATTTATCCCTGCCGCGTGAGGGATCATTTAGCATCACCCATTTCACGGAGGAGAAAACTGAGTCCTAGAAAGTGGAGGGGGCCCACCTCAGGCACAGGATTGGTCAGTATCTGGGATCTGACGCCTCAAGAGCACACTTGGCCCAAAGCTTGACGGAGCCCTTGGGATTCAGCCGCTGTCAGCCTGGACACACCCCTGAGCTCCCTGGTGGCCAGTTCCTCTGGGCCTTGAGGGTTCCATTGGCTGATTAGGACTGGGGCTCCTGCTGGCAGGACAGTTGGTAGCTACAGGACAGAGCAGCACCTGTGAACCTTCCAGGAGCCACACCTCAGGTGCTCCTCCCAGGGTCTGCCCAGGAGCTGGATCCAGGTGCCCAGGATGGCCTTGCAACAAGGTCTGAAACTGATAAGGGAGCCATGGCCACCAGGGAGAGTCTGTACCTGCCCTCAGCTAACTCCTCCTGCCCAGCCTTTCCTCTCATTCTGCTGAGCTGCTCCGTGTCCTGGAGCCAGGCCCCTACTCACTCCTCAGGCTCAGGACTGTCATGGTTTGCAGTCCCTGCAGCAGCAGAGCTCTCTCATCACTTTGTATTCGGGGACAGAGGGAAGGACAGGCTGCAGATAGGGAATGGTGGGGGGTGCTGCAGGGGCCTTAGGAGTGAGGAGTGAGGCAGGGGCCAGTCCCGGCTCTGCACCCATGGGAGCCCTCCTTCCCTCCAACTCCACCCAGGTCCTAACTGTCCTCAGGGATGGGTGTGAAGAGCCCTCTTCCAGCAAGTTGTCCTTGATACCAGCCCCTACTTCTCTCTTATCAAACCCTCCCAATAAATGTGAGACGCAGGTGATGGAGCAAGGAGTGTCCTGCCCAGGGGGAGTTCCACCTCCCTCCTCTCCCCCTCAGTGAGTGCCACAGCTACTCACCTTATTCTTGTTCTGGAGGTTGATCTGATTCCCTGGGAGGCAAACAGCCAAAGTCCATCAGGAAGAGCCTCCTGGCTAGTCCCTAACTACCGTAGCCCCCTATCTTCAGGCTTTCTCAAGTTGCAGTACCACAAGAGCCCTCAAGGGGGCAGGACACACACAGAAAGCAGGTTTGGGACATAGACCAGACTCTGGGCTCCCAAAGTTGGGGGGGATAAGGGAGTTGAGGCTCTTCTAGCCCGTCTTTCTGAGACAGGTGGGGGAACTGAGGCCGCCCGACAACTCGGGACAACTTATGTGCCGCCTGACTTGGAGGAACCTGATATTTCTCTCCACCGTGGGCACCGCGTGAGGGAGAGGCTGAGTCCATCTGGGACAAAACCTCCCGCACCTTTGCCTTCAGGCAGCTCTGCTGCTTCACCAGCCTGGGGAGCTGGGGTGGGTGTCTGAGGGAAGCCTTCGTTCATTCATCCTCAGGATGGGCATGAAGCCCCAGCTCACACAGGCGGCTGAGAGGCTCTCCAGTACAGGGGAGTGAGGGGGCGCTCGCTCCTACCAAGGCTCAGGATCCTGCCCCCAGACTGACCTCCAGCTAATCCTCCATCGCAGTGTCCAGCGGCACCAGGTCAGCAAGGAACGTGCCAAGGGCCACTGGAGTGGGAATGGTGATGAGCCCCAACTTTCAGGTGCTGCCCTGACACCCTTCCCTGGAAACTCCTCACCCTCAGCTCCTGGCCACCCCAGGGTTCCCATGTGGAGCAGCCTCCCCCAAGCCCCCTCCCTCGCCCTCCAAGAACACCAGATTGCTCCTCAACACCACCCAGGGCCTGCTTTTGGCAAATCACAGGATCTGTGGTCCCAGGTCCCTCCCTACCCCCAAATCCATCCTGCACCCAGCTCTCTAGGCCCCCTCCTGCCCATCACTTCTGGAGGAGGGTTCAGGCACTGAGGGAGGCAGGGCTGTGAGAGGAAGACCCCCTTGTAAGGCCTCCAGCTGGGAGGGAGGAGCCCCTCTCCTCTGGCCCCGCCCCTGCTGCTCCTCTTCTGGGCTCTCTAGGGATCTGCTCCGGGATAGCTTGTTGGGCGGCTCCTGCCAGGGTCCCGG